CCATTTTGCATTAGCCCAGAGTTGTAACTAAACCTTGACTGAGAGACTAGATAACCACTGTCTTGTTTTAAAATGAGGTGTGCCTATGAGGAGTGTGCCATCACAGCCATATACTGTCTGGACTGGACTCCACAGAGGTTTATGCTGCAAAGCCAGTGTTTTATTTTGTGCATGCACATATGAACACATGTCTACATGCATGTGCAATGCACTTATCTTTTCCAAGCTGCAGTTTGTAAACACCGCTGCCCATTGGCAGAGAGGGGATAACACAAGTTTACCTGCTGGTGTTCACCCATTTCACTCTTGTGTTTTTTTTTTCCTTTTTTTTACTGACTAGATGGATAGTTCTGCTTTGTCCAGTCATCCTTGTATCGAAAGGGGAGGTGGGGCCTTTGCGTAATTTGCGGGGCCGTATGCAACAAGAGTAGTGAGTGTATAGGGCCGATCGGCTCTGTTTGATTTGACTGGACAAAAAAAAACTTCTTCAGGTTCAGGATATGGGGGAGAAAAAAGGAAACGCAGAAACACGAGCAGTGAAGAAAAAAGAGAGCACACCACAGACACACACTCATACCTCTATTGTATCTGCCACCTGTTTTTCGCCAGCTATTTCTCTGCTGTCACTGTGTTGTTTACAAACTCATTCTCTACCTGTGTTTAAGCTGGTGTTACCCACTAGAAAGAGTCGCCCCAGGGGGGTTGAGTGTGTGTTGCTTTTGTTCTAGGCATCAAGAGCAAAAGGAGGGGTAGAGAGAGAGAGAGAGAGAGAAAAAGAGAGAGAAAGGGAGAGAGAGAGAGAAGTTATGCTATGAGTCATTCCCGCTTGAGTGAGAGAGAGAGAGAGAGAGAGAGAGAGAGAGAGAGAGAGAGAGAGAGAGAGAGAGAGAGAATACTTGTGCATTTTATATGAAGCAGCAGCTATACGCCATATGCCATATGGGACTGACTTGGCTCTCCAGACAAGGCTGGGCTTGACAGGCCCCTGTTCCTGAGGGTATGCCAGTGTGTTGAGAAGTAATCAGCCTCATACTGAATAACGTCACTGTTGTAACAGAACCTTGTATCTCCAAAATGTTCTTAACGTCAATACATGTTAATGTAATAGGATTTAACCCAAATAATTTTCTACTTTTTGTACTGGCTCATTCATTACAAAAGGCCAGCTGGCATTTTCAGATGATGTAGAAAAGGACAAAAATCCAAGAAAAAAAAAAAGTTCCAAGGTTTTGATATGACAGTGACAATATACAGGCCCTCGTGATGGGAAGTGGTTGGGTAGTGAATTGAGTTTGCTGGTACTGTACTTAGGTTTTTTGAGCAAATGTGGAAAAAGAGGAGGACAGGAAGAGAAAAAGAAAATAGTGGAGTTGGTGGGGGCTGGGAAAGGGAGATCTGAACACATTTGATATTGTACGGAGCCCCTGGGAACAGCTGGTGAGTTGGGAGAAGCAGGGCAGCAGGCAGGAGGAGGAGAGGCGGGGGGGCATGGGAGGGGAGAAAAGCCAGTGCGCTGGAGTGAAAATAGGATTAGAGTCAGCACACTATGATTGGGTGGGGGCACTGGACCCTCTCCTCATAGAGGCATGCATTAGATTTCATACTGACTGCAGGCCTTCTAACCAAGCGCTGTCTATGAGCACAGGGCAGAGCAAAGAGGAGAGGATCTCACACACTACATATGACAAATAAATATTTAAATATTTACTTCCCATTTGCTAAAATCTTTTTACGATGGCCTTTCATAGCACTGACGAGTCTACACTAAAAAAATGCATTGAATTTATGAGTACATTATTCACTGATTTTTGATTTTGTATACATATAATCTGTAATGTAAGGAAGGACATTTTTTTTAAGCATTACTGATTTAAGGAGCTTTTTTTCTTATACAGAAAGATCACAATCTTGAGACTAGTTCACAACATTGTAAAAAATATTTAAATCTACCCCTGTAACAATGAAAGTATCGTTGAAAACAGATATGGTACTAGGACACAAACAGAAACTTAACATGAAGCTGAAGAAAACAAGTAATGTGTGTGCAGTGATGGAGAAAACATGGCCAAAGTGACTAGGGAAGGTACTGCCATTTGGCAACTTCCCTCCTCCTCCTTCTCCTTCTCCTGATGAGGGCTAAAAGCTGGGGCTCGCATGACTGGCGGCCGGCAGGAACAGATTATGGCTATTGATTGGTGCCTGGAGATGGATCTGACTGAAGAAGAGAGGAAGAGAGAGGAGGCGGAGCAGGGAGGGAGTGAGGGAGAGGGATAGAGGAGAGAAAGCATGCTAACTCCATCGATTCCGGTCAGCAGGGGAGGCAGTGAGGCAGACTGAAGGTCAGTGAATCTCTGTCTTACCTCTTAAATCCCAGCCTCCCTACCTCAGGGCCTGTCATCAGAACCCCTGTGCAGTGAGGAGCCACCACTAACCTACCACTGCTAAAACTCCCCCGGTACTGTCTATCACTGAGTGACAAGCAAGACTGCCCTCAGAGAGATGCAGCACAAAAAATCCACAGGTGCTCCACTATGAGAAGACCACTTTACATTATGGGTCTGAAAAGACACGTAGCTGTCAAGAAGTCATTACTGTGAAAATGAAATTTTGCACTAGAACACAGAAACTGCACATCTGAAACGTGGAGCAAAGAGCTATGGGCTAATAATTCTAAATTTAGAATTGAGATTACTTGGATCACGAGAAGCAGAAAATGCAACCAGATTCTAAGACTGAACCTGGGAAGTCTGAAAGCAAATTTCACAAACAGAATGGAAATGGTAATAAAGGTAATGTGTGAACACACTAAATGTAGGCCTCAAAAATAGTTACACGTCTTTTATTAGATAGAGACAGTATGTTTACATATGCTTATATATGACATACTTTAATACCATATAAAAGCTAAAATTAAACTTCAGAATTTGCTTTTCTAAATTTTTGGCTCAGGAGATTTGCGGGATGAATTTTAAGCTTACCAGACTGCCGTATGAAAAAAGGGCACTAGCGCGCCAGACTTCAAACTCACAGCAGCAGTTTTTTTTCAATAGAGTTGAATCAATAATAGATGACACATTATGTGTGATTTGAAAGGGCTGTGTAATACAGTGTCAGCAGGAGAGAGGCCTCTCTGTCCAAAGAGCTCTTGCCAGGCCCTCTGCAATAACATTGCTCCTTCAGCCACAGCAACCTGAGAACAGCAGTGCTGTGTAAGGTGGGCTGGAGACATACACACGTGGGCATGAGCAACACTCACCTGTGTAAACACACAGATGCATTGCGGGGTGGCAGGCACAGGGCAGTGTGGGATGAGAAGAGGGGACCGCGGTGCACCTGGCCGAGCACTGGTGGCCATTTCTACACAGCCCATCCAATTAGAGCTGAGTGATGGCACAGCAGAGAGGCAGGGCTGCTGGAGGCCTCTCCAGCTCCACAGCACTGCCACACAGCAGCACCTGCTTTTATCAGCCTATGCCCTGAGCACCACCACTGCCTTTGAAGAAATATTCAACTAATTACCTTGGAGCACTGTCGCACAACAAGACGGCAGATTGCAGGGACCCAGGCCATTGAGAGATAGGAAACTCCAGAAGAGATTTCATCTCTGCACAAATACACACGCCTTTCAGCTACACAGCCGAGGTTATTGTGCCAAACCATGGAGAAAAAGAAGATGGAAGAAAGCAGAACAACAAAAAAAAGAGTAGTAATACTGAAAAGGGTAAAGGAGATGGAAGGAAAAAGCGACAGAGAAAAGGAAAGAAAAAAAGACAAAATCTAAGTGTATGTGTACATGTGCGTGAAAGAGGTACTATACAACAGCTGTTCTTGTAACTAACTTAAGAGACAATGATGTGAGCCCATGAGTCACAGATAGATTAATTATTCATCAGAACAGATCAAGCCTTTGTTCAAAGCTGTGAAAACTTATGGCTCCTCAGTCCTTTTCACAAGTGGTAAGAGAAATAGAGATAAATCTATCTACTAATCTACTAATGGTATATGGTATTTAGATTGATACTAAAGAGGAATTTCACAGATTGTACATAATTTCTTCACAATTCAATGGCTGTGATGTAAACACAGTCATTCAGAGTGCTTTAATATGAAATGGTTCACTGTAGAGAAACTTAAAAGTAGTGGTGACAGGAACCAGTGGCTGCAACATCTACAGCACAAATATAGGCACGTTATGTATCCAAACTGACCAGTGAACCTAAGCGAGTTTTTATATGTAATGTTGATAATGGTTGAATAGTGGAAAATCTAAAAAAAAATAAGATTCTTTTGGAGACTACCTTGCCTTATAATGCTGTGCATTTGCCTCTCTGCCATGAATGGATTTTAAAAATGATGTTTTAGGCCAAAAGTTTTTTTCTCTAAACTATTGTAATGATAATGTAATTATATATGTATTATACTGTAAATATGTAATTGTATAAGACATCAGGCCAAGTTTTTGTAACCATTTTATAATAACATATAACATTTCTGTGAGGTAATGTTTATAGGTTTAAATGCTTGGGGTGTCTAGTTCCTACAACCACCACTATGAACAATTATAAAAATGTAAGCTTCTCTAGAACAGAGCATTTTGTGTTACACCACTCAGAAAAAATGTGTTTAAGTCTTAACCATTTAATTAGGCAGAAAGATTTAAAAATCAGTGGAATTCCTCTTCAAAAGTCATAGAGAACGATGGAAAATTCAGGAAAATGCTGAAATCATATTTCGTCTTTTTCTGTTTGTGGTTGTGAGTTGTGAGGGGCTGATACCCTATCGATATAAACCATCAACAACCATACTTTCAAAATTAAATAACAAAATATTAGTGTTTTTAATATAAAAAGACTTCTTCTTAGTGACAGCAGTAAGAGCTGTGAAAAGCTATGAAAAAAATCCCTCCAGAATGCTTTCCTCCGATCCTACCTGGGTAGTTGTCTTTCTCTCTGGCTGTGGTTAGGGTAGCCCACAGAGCAATGTGTGTGGTGAAAGGATACAAGCTCTGGTAGAGAGTCAGTCGTGACTTCACTGCTCTGCTGGCATTAATGCACGTGGCCCGCACGAGACTGGGTAACAACGTCCCTGTGACTATCGCTCCATCAAACAGAGGCCCAAAGAAAGGAACCTGAGAGAGAAAAAAAAGAAGTGGAATTATTGGTGGGATTCATGATCATGTTCTCTATGTATGTATGTGTATGTACAGTGATCTTCACAAATATTGGCACCCCTGGAAAACATGAGAAAAAAGGCTGTAAAAAACATTCCTTATTGCTTATTGTTTTGATTTTTCATTCAAAATATTAACAAAAACCTAGCCTTTTTTTCTAAGAACAATGAGGAATTAAACATTTTTCTCAAATGTGTGTGCCACAATTATTGGCACCCCTTCACTTAATACTTTGTAGAGCCTCCCTTTGCAAAGATAACATTTCTAAGTCTTCTCCAACAATGCTTAATGAGAGTGGAGAACATATGGCAAAGGATCTGAGACCATCCCCCCATACAGATCCTCTCTAGAACCTTCAGATTCTGAGGTCCACACTGTGGACTCTCCGCTTTAGCTCATCTCATAGGTGTTCTATGGGTCTAGGTCAGGGGACTGGGGTGGCTATGGTAAATCCTTAATTCTGTGGTCAGTGAACCATTTTTGTGTTAATTTTGAGGTGTATTTTGGATCTGTGTCCTGTGGAAGATCCAAACTATGGCTCAGTTTAAGCTTTCTGGCTGAAGTAGTAGCTTTTGGTTTTATTTCTGCTGGTACTTGCTGGAGTCTGTGACACAATGTATCCAAATAAATTGTCTAGGACCTTTTATCTTTGTGTCCATGCCAAACTCACCTCTGGTGTTCATGGCCAAAAATTCTATTTTGGTCTTATCTGACCATAGAACACAGCCCCACTGAAAGTTTCAGTAATGTCTGCAAACTGTAGGCGCTTGAGTTTGTTTGGCCTTGACAGCAGAGGCTTTCTTTATTGTATACCCCTACACAACTGGTTATATAGGTGGTGTTTGATTGTAGTTTGGGAGACATTTTGACTCGAAGACCTAACTAATGTCTGCAATTCCCCATCTGTGATCCTTGAACATTCTCTGTCCACTCAAACCAGTTTTAACCTTCTTAATTATTGGCCTGATAGTGGACATGGGCATTTTCATTTCTGCTTAGCTATTTTCCTCCAGCCATTTCCTAATTTGTGCAGCTCAATAACTTTTTGTAGCACATCTTTGCAGTTTTCTCTGGTCCCTCTCATAAACATGGATGACTAAGGAAACTTGACTTGTGTTTCATCTCATATACACTACATGAACAAAAGTATTGGGACACACCTCTTAATCACTGAATTCAGGTGTTTCATTCAGTCCCATTGCCACAGGTGTATAAAATCAAGCACCCAGTCATGCAGTCAGCCTTTGCAAACATTTGTGAAAGAATGGGTTGCTCTAAAGAGCTCGTTGAATTTGAGCATGGCACTGTAATAGGATGCCACCAGTGCAAGTCAGTTTGCAAAATGTCTTTCCTCCCAGATAATCCACGACCAACTGTGAGTGGTATTAAGTGGAAGCATTTAGGAAGCACAGCAACTCAGCCATGTAAAGTTACAGAGCGGGGTCATTGGGTGCTAAGGCGCATTATGCCTAAAGTCGCCAACGCTCTGCTGATTCAATAACTGCAGGGTTCCAAACCTCCTCTGGCATCAACATGAGCACAAAAACTGTGCGCCGGGAGCTTCATGGCATGGATTTCCATGGTAGAGCAGCTGCATGCAAGCCTTACACCACCAAGCCCAATACCAAGCGTCAGATGGAGTGGTGTAAAACATGCCACCACTGGTCTATGGAGCAGAGGAAACATATTCTGTGGAGTGTCGAATCAGGCTTCTCTATTTGGCAGTCTGATGAATAAGTCTGGGTTTGGCGAATGCCAGGAAAACATTACCTGCCTGACTGCATTGTGCCAACTGTAAGGTTTGGTGAAGGAGGGATAATGCTATAGGGCTATTTTTCAGGGGTTGGTCTAGGCCCCTTAGTTCCAGGGAAGGGAAATCTTAATGCTTCAGCATAACAAGACATTGTGGACATCTGTATGCTTCCAACCATGTGGGAACAGTTTCCCCAGTGCCCAAAGCAAGGTCCATAAAGGCATGGTTGGGTGAGTTCCCACAGACACTCCCCAAAATCTTGTAAAAAGCTTCCCAGAAGAGTGGAAGCTGTTAAGGATGCAAAGGGGGTACCAACTCCATATTAATCCCTATGGATTTAGAATGGGAGGTCATAAAAGCTCCTGTAGGTGTAATGTGTAGGTGTCCCAATGCTTTTGTCCACATAGTGTGTATAACCCAGTCAATCAGGAAGTCATGGCTGACCAGGTAAGTGTTCCTGATTGCTCAGGTGAACTTAAATACATAAAATATGAATGGGAATATACTTCAGTAGGATTTCCCTCTTCAGAATTTTTAGGGGTGCCAATAATTGTGGCACACATAGATTTAAGAAAATGTTGTTTTCATCATTTCATCATTATAAATTCAATAAAGGTTAGAATTTTGCTAATATTCTGACAATCATATTTTGTACAGTTCATTTTGCTCAGGATAATTAGAGGTGCCAATATTTATGGAGGGAAATGTATACACACAGACATACACCAAAAAAATTATATATAACATGATCATAATCCAAAAAAAGAAAACACATAATAAAATTACATTTAATTTCCAATCAATTTTCTGTCTATGATACAAACATACCCTCATCCCACACAAAATCAATGACTATGACAGGCCAAAATTATCTCAGTCAATATAGAATGCTGCACTTTCTTTTTTCAAGGCTTGTGTAATTGAACACAGACTGAGAGTTATTTGTGCTACCAGTGACACAGTCAAGGGAATTTCTCCAAATACTGCTAGGCATTCTGGGTTTTATAGGTCACCTTGGTAAAATGCTTGATCAAAGCTAATAAAAACCACATGCAATAACGTTTTTAAATTTTCAGTCACAAAATTCATTTGAATACAACAGTATATTGTCTAAATTGATAGTTAACATGCTACTACTTCTATTAGGCTTATATAGATGCTATTATCAGGAATTGCCAGTGACTGAACTTTGGTCACTCAGGCTGCTTTTGACCTGTCTGTTATCCAGGCTAGCAGCAGGTGTGTGTGTTTGAGTGCGTGTGTGTGTGTGCGTGCGTGCATGTGTGCGTGTGTAGCATAAGTGAAGATGAAAGCTAGTCTGGTCATGATGAGAGCAACATGCCGACAGTGCAGTAATGGACTGGGGGGGAATGGAGGAGGTGCATTTATGGATTCTTCAGTTTAGACTAAGGCATGCAGAAGACACAAGCTAAGAGACCATCTACTAGAGCCACAAATCTTGCAAATTTAAATATAAAAACTAAGAGTTGATTTAAAAACATAACTCTTTAAAAACTACAGTTATAAATGTTCTTGATACAACAGGTAGGGAGCAGGGCTGGCAAATGGGATGGTGCTGGGGGGGTGTTCAGTCACCAATATGAAGTATGTATAGAGTGAGACCTTTCTATCATATCAATACACAGCCCTATTTTGTCCTTTCTTTCATGTTTGTGTGTTTTTAAAGTTTGATAATAGTCTTAGATTTATTATGCTTTTATTATGCTTGTTTTTACCTTTTCTTTATATTTTCACTAATGAATATAACAGGTTAATCTCTTGAAGTGCTGTACAAAAAAACAAAAACAATCTAGCCTGCTATTTCGTCTAACCAAAAAAAAAAAAACTGATAAAAGTAACATATGAACATGCATATTTGATCACTTTTTGAAAGTAGCTATAATTTAGAAATAATGGGTCCAGTTATCTTTTCAGCCAGAACCCCACCATAACATAGCCTAACTTTGCCTGGGTTTACACATACCATCTGTTTCAACTTGCATGCTACTGTACTAAATGGTGTGTTGTAGTGACGGCACCACTCGAGTGGTGTACTAATTTGACATGCTATTTAGTATAGTGTATGTGGTTTGAGACGCAGCCACAGGGCATACCCTCCCCACAACTGAATTGTTAAATATGATCCTCTTAATTCAAATAAAGTACTTAGTTTAATACTTAAGGGCAGACACTCTCTCGTCTGAAAATTCCATTTTCAATATTTTGTGTGATAAAAACTGTTTTGACCTTACAAAGCTCTAATATACTACAGAGCTTTGTTCGATCAGATAAATCAAAGTTCTACCCTCTAACAAAATAAACCCTGAAAATTTCAGCCCCTAGAATTTAGAATTGATTTATTAAAAGCTGAGTTCTTTGAGTGTGAGTGCCTGCATAAAATAAATCCCTCTCCCTCCCTGCCCACTTTACTCTGATAGGATGCACTCAGATACCTAGACAAAGGGATGTACTGGCGATACAGTTTTAAATTTCAATACACTGTTTTAAATTTGATCTTTCCACATGCACTGGAATTGTTACAACCTTATAACATACAGTAATTTTACAATGTTTAATGCTAAACCGAAATAAACCAAAAATGGAGATTTTAAAATAGATTTTCCGGCACCCCTTATTTGTGCTGTATCAAAAAAATGTATCGAATCAAGACACCACCGTATCCATATCCTATCACATCTTAGCTAAAGAAAATATGGTTGTAAACCATGCATGACAAACAGCTGTTAAGCTGTACTCTGGCAGTGGGAGCATACTGTACACTCACAACATTGTTACCTAAACATACATAAACATACAACAGAAATGATCATTTAAAAGGTGGAAAAAATAGGATTGTTGTGAACTACACAGTGACCATACCTGTGGTTTCTTCATGATCTGAATGAAGAACATGTGGTTCTTCATGGGGTAGATGATGATGAGTACATCTCCAAAGTCAGTAGGGATAATGCCCCGTCGGTAATCCCGTGTGTGCTCTGACCAAACAATGTGCACTTCATCGTTTCCCAGATGACGAAGCTACAAGACAACAAAGAATGTACCAACAGTTCACATATTGGTTTCAAAAGGATAATTCATTTTCCTCAATCTGAACTTAATAAGATGTCTGAACACCTTGATGGTGTTTTTCACAGCAGCTGCTCAAACTCATAACTACATAACCTACATATTAGTTTCATAAAATGTGCTGAATAATTCATAGTTGTTACAGAAAAAAAAGTCTTAGGATTAATAACTGAATAACAAGCCTAGGATTTGAGGGGTTAAGTGATTGCTATAAAACCAAGACAGAGTTATGCCTGTTCAATAGCCAGATGTGAAGTTTCTTTAAGAGCACTTTGGTCTGTTTTAAAGAGAAAGCTAATCATTCCATTTCCATTGGACCTTGACAACCTGAAAACACTCTAATAAAACTTAATCATGAAAATTTGTTTTGAGGACAGCAATAATTTCAGGTTTGAAATAACTTTTGCACATATATTTCAGTACATAATGGTCCTGCATCTTGTTACGGTGCTTTCAATTGTGGAGTCAAATGAGTTTGAGAAATTGGATTATTATGAGCCAATCATTTGATTAAATTGACTGCTTTGCCTGTCAAATTGCTTACATTTTCATTTTATATTAAACTAGGAAATACATTTCAAGGAAATTAGTTTTTTTTTAAGGTTTGTGTTTTGAGGCAAGATAGAAAAAAATAAGCAAAGTGTTCTCAGACTGTAGTGAACATGTACGCATTTGCAGTTCCTCATATAAACCATAATGTAGTTACTTGATTATTTTTGCTATATCATAAATAAATAAATACATACATACATAATCAGAATTGAATGTAAACTAGACAGAAGGGGAATTTTTAATTGATCTACCAAAATGGTGCTACTTCAACTGGAGAGAACAACTGGAAACAGGTAAAGAAGGATCCCCTCGATGGGTTGTCAAACATCTGCCAATGTACTGGAGCCTAATGAGCCATTAACAAAACATGCCCTCTCCACCAAAAAATGCAATTACCACATTTCCCCATAAGCCCTTAATTATGCTAATGGACTAGAATTAAACAAATCCACAACAAGCTGATTGGGCCAATGCATGCTGATCCATTTCAGAGACAGCAGAAGAATCAATGGCATGTAAATAGGTCAGGGAAAAGAGGGGAAATAGACAACATGCTGTACACATACTACACATGCCAACCGAACTGAAATGCACCAGGTGTTAAAGACAACAATGTGATAATGCATGATTTGGATGATTGAGAGCAGAAAGCTAGTGGAGCAAGATAGGTCTGTTAATATGGATGACTCCAGTATTATTAGCCTCATTTAACCCTCACCAAGCCTTGAATGAAAAAGTGAATCGCAAAAATACATACACTGTGCACATACAAGGTAAAGCGGGGTACAAAGTACCACATTTTGGTTTTTGCTTAATAATTTTAAAAGTAAATTGCAAAAATTTATACAAGCAACCTATGCATCTCTGTCACAAATGAAAACTTGTTGCCAACATCTAATGTTTATGAAACATTCACTTGAAAGTGGCATGAGTGCAAACGCTGCAACTTATCCCATAGGTAGGGTTAACTGTAACAAATGGAGGTCTGGTAAAAACTATGAAAAGACAATTAATTTAATATGATTCAATGTTATTTAAACCAAACTAACTTTCCAACCTAAATACATAAAAATGTATTTATCAAAATAAAAATAAATAGTGAAGAGTGTGTCAACTCTGGCAAATTTATTTCTGACCACAAAGTAGAGGAGCAAATATCAGCAAAACAAAACCTACATATATTTTATCCGTATTACACAACTGTTGATTAATTAGTATCATTGCATGTGGGGAAAAACAAACTTGTCTCATTGTTCAATTCAAGAGGCTTAGCTGTCAACCTGCCATGTGGAGGTTGTTCTTTAGGCTGGCTAAAATTATTGTTGTTACAAAACAATATATGTGTAAATTTTGCAACATGTACGCAGAAAGTAATCTTCATCTTTCTGGATGAAGCATCGGTTTTCAGGGTGAAAAATCTCAAGAAATGTCTGTCCAACTGCTGTGAAAATTTACATATGACTTTGCACTGGGAATATGAGAACAACGCATCATAAATAAATAAATTAATAAATAAAGCCTAACAGTATGTTCTATTGGAACCTGTTCACTGCATATATAAGAACATATATATTATAAAATATGTAAGTCTCCAGCTCACAACAATAGGGTGCCTTATAAAAACAGTAGCCTCCACTGAGCTCTCCTAGTGCATACATACCGAGTGCTTGAGAGACAGAGGGTGGGTGTATGTGTGTGTGTGTGTGTGTGTGTGTGTGTCTACATGTCAGGCTGACCGGCTGCCTCCTGACACTAAGGCCTTGAATGGTCGAGCCCCTCAAATAACTGCATTACTAGCACAGCCAGCTGCTCTGCCCCCCAGCACTCAATTGAATTCAGGAATTCCTCTCTTTTTCCTTTCTCCTTCCCTTCCCTTTTCCCCCTCTCCCTAGCTGAAAAGTTGCATTTGTAAATTAAAGGGGTAACTTCCTGCCTGGCTATGGCTGATAAAGCGGCCCTTTCACCCCTCCCTCTACAGGCGGCCGCTGCACGGTTACTACCAGAGAAGGAGCAAAGCAATTACGGGGCCCCCAGCCCAAATGAATCGAACACAGCTCACGGCACACACCCTTCCACCATGGGCTCACACACGCACCTCCACACTGCTGGGCCACACCTCCGGCACATGTGCAGGGCAGGGGAAGAAAAAAAAATCGAAAGTGGCTGAGACTGACTAATGCGAGCGCTAACGGTGAGCAAGTTCAGCGTGATCCTCCTGATGAATTTCCTCTCTGCGGGAGAGCGCATGATCAGATTGGGCCGCGTTCGCAAAGTAGGAGCCCAGCGGCTCATTTTGCCAGTGTTAACGCGCTAACGCCTGTCGATCGCTACCCCGCCGGCATGGGCGGAATTCGATAGCGGGGCCCCGCTGGCATCCGGCAGGCCCCTGGCCCTGGCAGAGTGAGTTAATGGGCTGATCGGGGCCCAGGTCACAGCACATGCAGGAGTCAAGAGAGTCAGAACCATTACTGAGGCAGGACATGCCTACTGCTCTCTTCTGCTTCTACAGTTCTTCAGCTAGCAGCAGCCAGACAGAGCCCAGTAATCAACAGCACAATCACACAGTCACGCCTCACACATGTCCGTCACATGCTTTGTCATACTGATCCACTATCAGTCGAGCATACCAGCTCAAAACCAGTGGGCCTAAACAGGTACCCTCTAAAATTGCATGGAAATGTTGGTGTACCAGAAAAATGAAATGGTAACTTCATAGACGACTCTACAATTGTACATTAATGTAATGTATGTAATTAATAAGGTTTTATTCTAAATAACTCAATACGTAGTTTTGATATGACAGCAACAATATGAAATTCTCTAATATTCTCTAACTCAGTACTTTCAGGGCAGCTCCCTGTCTCAAACTCAAATTATCTGGGGGCCACTAGCCAGGTGATCTTCTCCAAAAGGGACCAGATCAAAAAAGGCAGGGAAAAAAAAAGTGTCTCATTATTTTTTAAATTAGCAATTCTTATGTCACCGCAAACCACAACAACCACTCTACTACTCCTAACAATACATATTACTGCTAGTTAAAGTAGTATAAATATATAGCGTATAATACCTATAATAAACTTACATTTAATAGAAGAATGACATGGGACTTTCAGTTTCGATACCATCAGTATTCCTGCTAAATGCGAGTGAAGTTAACGCGAGTGAAGGTTAAGTCTGCGTTCTTAGTGGATTTGTTTAATAATTACATTCATTTATTCTGACATGCTGTATCTACCCATGAATACATGGATGAAGGCAGATTTAAGTATCAGTTAAAATTAGAAGAACAGCTAAGTTAGTTATAGCTAAATTACAACTATACAATGTGCAGCATTAATGCTGGGTCAGGTTTTCTTTTAAATGGTTTCTCATGCATACAGTGCTCTGTTTTTTCATTTAACAATGTAAGCATTATCCTAAGCTGATTTTATATAGCTCACATTACGTGTCTAGTCGCAGTGTCTGGTAGGTAAAGCAAATCTACCCAATGGATATAATTATTTAGCTATAGAGAAGGGGAAAAAATAATTAGCAGGCCAGACTTAAGGATAAACTGTAAATATATGACAGCCTATACGAATATGCCACATGTGTCTCGCAGACTGGTACTTAAACTTACTGCAATACAGGCATAAACCTTTTAATGACAAACTAAACAATTTAATAATAACAATTAAAACGTTATGTAAAGCACCTTTTTAGTGATGGAGTCATCAGAGTCGGAGGGCATACGAGTGGACACATGAAAGATGACCTCCACGGTCGAGGTAGAGTAGTATGGTGCTGTGGTTCCCGTGCTGCCATTCCTTTGCAAACCACCCATGAATCCGCAGTGAGTAGCCAAGTCCACCTGAGAGTAAGAAACAGAAAGTACAGTGCTTTTAGACAAATTCAAGAGCTGGAAACACTGTCACAGCACTGCCATTTTGTGTGTGTGAGATTATGCATGTGTGAGAGACCAAGTGAGAGTGGCTTTGTACCTCCCATCCAAGCCCAGAGACAAAGTCCTCATATGCCTGGCTGCCCTCAGTATTTGACAATATGGAGCATTTGTCCTCCTGGCCCTCGCCAATATAGAAAACAGCAATCTTGTGGGTCTCCCGACTGGAATACATGGGCACAGACATCAGAACAGTTTTATATCACTAAGCAATTTTGCAAACAAAGTTACCCAAAGCAAATACAAAGAGATTTGTAATGCACATCTCTGTTTTATAACTACTATTTTTTTTTAACAGAGAACAGCAAATAACTTTACTTTAACAGTAACTTTACATTTTTATTTTATAACAAAGTAAAAGTTACAGCAAAGGACGTGCATTCCTCTGGAAAATTCTAGCTAATTGTGCTAAAATACAGAATGTTTTTCTCATGCTATTATAAGATGAACATAATTATTTCCAAAGAAAAGTCAACAACAAATATAAAACTACTGTTGCAAGCATCAGAAGTGCCATTCACTGCTTCTGTGATGTTAAAAAAAAACCCCACTCTATTACACACCATCACTGTCAGGACAAAATCTCAAATCTACAAAATGAAAAGAAAAAACACTGTTTACTTGTAATGTAAAAAAAAAATGTACATTTTTTCCCCCCCAAGTAATTTTGGAGCCTTTAAATGTAAAGAGTAACTGGAGTTTCAAAATGATGCAAAAAAGTGAAAAGGTTTTTGTGCGACACTGATGATATATCTGCCTATTTAGCGTACAGCAGTTGCCCGCTCGCGCTGAAGTAGTGTTTCAGCCCAGACTAGCAGTACAACTATGTATTATGGAAAAAAAGGCACAAATATAAATGCCATGATTTAGACAGTTACTGCTTAAGAAATGCACAAACAGATAAAAAAAAACAAACACACACACACACACACACACACGCACAGACACACACAATACAAAGAACAGGAAACAACTACACAAAACCATAATAAAAAAGTAAAGCACAGTACAATGAAGAGTAATGTAACTTATAAAGAAGGTGTAAGAATAAAGAAGGTGAACTGAATGGCAATATATTTTCTGATACTAAGACTGAAGCTAAAAATGAAAATATATCATCTTTATTGGGATGTATCTGTGTATTCTGCTGTTTCCATGCTTTGTTGAAAGTCTTTGAGCAATGTTGCTACGGAAGCACCATGCCCTTGCACTGTGATGTTTGGCATGCTCAGACAGCGGTTGCTATGAGTAGGGCAGGTATGTGCACAGGGGGAAACTGTGGGCCGATCCTGGGGGTATTCTTTAATAAGCCCCTGTAATTAGCCACTCTGAGTGCCTATTGATCGCTGTGGGCTGAGGAGTGCCGAGCTGTGTTCTGCCAGAGATGGGCAGGATTAGACTAGTGGGGGGTTGAAAGAGAGGAGTAGCTGAGAGTGGTCTTAAGACATGTCTCACTAATAGTGCTCTTAAAGGATTTAGCCTGCTCTCCGCAGTCACATTGGGTATTGTATTAGGTGATTTTGTTCCCCAAATGCCTGCTATAATTATGGTTTTGAGTAATCAGCATGGTGCAATAGTATATGACAAAAGTCATTGCTTTACAAGAGATTTTAGTTGTACCAGAAGATTAATATGGTAGTTTCATTTCACTGTTTCAATATCTCTACACACGATTTTCCATTTTTCAATGCAACTGTACATGAATATGTAGGTCGTCTGATTTCACAGCGCGCTGGTAATTAGAGATAAAAGCACACATGCTATTAAAATCCCACTGCTGCACTTAAAGAGAAGCATGAGGGGCATCTGAAACTTACCACTGCCTTGAATCCAAATTCTTGAGTTCTCTCAAAAGCTTTGAGTTCTTCTTCAGGAGATGAAAGCTTTTTCTACAGTGCAATTAACAAAAATTAGTCAAAAGAGTACCATCGGTTGAAAGCCTTACAGGAACTATTCTACATATTGTATTAATCCATTGATCTATATTATCCCCATGTTCTTTCAAGGCTGTTGATTATTTTGTTAGTGAAGATAATACCACAGATCGTAAGATTTACAAATGCACTGAAACTACCAAAGAACATTTCTGGTATCTATAGCGACAAGGCCAAGTCTCTCATCAGCAGATATACCAAATATACCAATGGCTTACTCTTTTTATTAAAGAGAGCATGAGGACCTGAATGGAAATATTTGGAGCCATCACCACACTGATGCTACACAACTGAGAAATACCATGGATTCACTAAACTCCGCCTCTGATGTGCATCACAAATGCAACAAAGGGCAAACTGGTCAATGAACTGGTCAACTAAAGTGGTGTACACTTATTCCAACAGGAAAGTGAGTAACGATCAAAATATGACAATACTGCAACAGTGCTGGATGGTGTTATGTTTGAAAATACATATGTATTGTTTACAATCTGCTTCTTTAAATCTGCCACCAGAAGAGTATCCCTCATCATTTAATCAAGCTCAGCACATAGAACCAGAGGTTTCTCTGTGGTACTGTGTTTCTATCACTGCATAAAGTTGAATAAACCTTGTTTTACCAAGAGATGCACTGTTTTTTTTCTGTGTGTGAGCTCATTTCAAGTGCAGTTTGGATTGGTAAGAACTTGTTGTTTTGTTTAATCAGAGTAACAATCAAGCGAGACTGATGTGTAACATTCATATTTAAGTGTTTTCTTCTTCAAAAAGGTAGTTTATAACAATAAATATCAATAAATTATCAGCTTTGTAAAATCAATTTCTTTAAATATCAAAATAAGCACAACAGCAGCCCTGAGAAATGAAAAAGAACAGATTAAACAGCAGAAATAGCCACTATCATGCTATTATTAGCTTAAAGGATTAAATCACACGTGGCTAAAAAGTAAACCGCTCAATCAAAAGAAATGATGTAACCAACGACACAAAGCATGCCATTCGTTCACAATGAGGAAAATTCCCTGTAAGTGCGCGTGTGTGTGTGCGCGTGTTTGGGGGGGGTGTATCGAAATATTATAGTATAGCCAGTCCTCTGGAAATTAATGCTTGAATGATTATGATCACACGTCACACCCACAAACATATACCTGCGGTCCCACGAGTTCATGCCAAGCTCATTGAGCAGCAGACGGCAGAAGTAGAAGGGTGCCTTGGGCTCCTGCTGAGAGGGCTGTCTCTGACTGGCTGCTTTGACACTGGGGTCTTCACTCCGTCTCCAGAGCACTTCCTCCTCCTCCTGCTTCGCCTGTCTGTGAATGGCCTCCATGATGGCCCCCTCTGTTTCATGGTTCATGCCCATGGGTGGTGGCGCTGGCTGAGTAAGTCTCTGCTGAGGCTGTGGCAGGCACTCTGGGCTGCTGATGCCCAGGTCCTCCAGCAGCTGGTCAAGCACATCAACACTGTCCTCCACCTCCACCTCAGAGGAGCATCTGCTGGTGTAAGATGAGCTTGGCTTGGAGGCAGCAGAGGAATGGTCAGTGTGGCAGTGGGAAGCCTCGTCTCCACCACTGCTACAATGCAGGCTCATTCCTTCTAAAGTCTTACAAAGAACGCTACCGTCCCATGAATACTTCCCAGAGATGTCCCGCACAATAACTCGGACCTCGGAGGAATGTTCACTGGGGTTTGTGGAGGAGCCGTCGGAAGGGATTTGCAGGTAAGACACGAGGGTGCTGTCGTTGAAGACAAATAGCTGCAGATTGGGACTCTTGAAGACCTCAGAGGAAAGTTCAGATGATTCCACATAAGGGTTATCGTGGTTTTCATTCACCAGGCTATGCAGAAGGGCAGGGCCCCCACTAAGAGGGTGGTGACCCAAATGGTTCACAAGATGCATCATTATCATCCTAGCAGTCAGAGGAATCAACTCCATGTTCCTTCGCTTCTTCTCTGCAAGAGGAAGACATATTTACATGAGTTTCTTAGAAAATAAATAAAAATTTCAAAAGTCAAAATTTAGATGAACTAATATTCTCTCAACTGGCTTACTAGGTTCTCCTTCAGCAATCCAAATCACAATATTATTGTTAAGTAGTATTTACAAACAGAGTTGGTTTTCCATCTAGTTTTTTTGGCATCTTCAAATCAAAGAGAACTGATCCATTCAGTTTTCATAATGAGTCATTTTTTTCTTCTTCAAAAAGCTGCTTAATGAGCATCGCACCTTTCACAGTGAGCGAATAGAACTCAGAGCTATGTAAATGCTAAGGGCAGCTGAAAAAGAGAAGTCTACTGTTGTGATTAGCGGATATCAAGATGAGAAAAAGGAGATGTTCGCATGGTGACAGTGCCATCAATACCATCATCTCCATCAAAGTAAAAAAAGCTCTTTGGGAAAACTGCTGTGCTGCATTAGGGATGCACAGGTCTTTGAAGTGAACTAATCAATAATGAGGTTGAGTACAGGAGCATTACTCTTAAGTTGCTTTTTGGCAAGGGTTTGTTTTGTGTGTAGAGGTATAAAGGGTATATCAATGGGCAAAGATTTTAGCACGGCAAAAGCCAGTGTTTTTTTCCTCGTCTCTAAAGATATACAAGTACAATCATAAAAGACATGTCTATAGGAAAAAAGGAACCCTAAAAGAACCACTATGATGACATGCTGAGTACAGAGGGGGGTGAAATGTCCAAAAATGTTACCTAATGGATGTGGCAAGGTCAAATAAGGAAAGAAAAAAAAAAAAATCATTTCTTAAATAATTGGTATAAATGGGCTCTCTGAGTGGATGAGGGGGACTAATGCACGGCTTTTTAAACGTTTCATTTGAGACTGTGCTGCATTTCTCTAATATTTTTGAAAGAACTTCAAATTCATAGGGAAGAGAAAATGCCACAGCTATATGGGGAGGAAAACCAGTTGTATAGTCTATTTACATTCTTTACACACAAACTATAATATACACTACTTCTTTTAAACATTAGCTCATGTTGTAGAAATACACACTTTAATATGTAATTACATACAAAAAAAAAAGAAAAATACACACAATACTTGCTGTCACAAAATTAGAAGGAACATAGTTTATTACCTAAAGGTAATGCTCAATGTTATTTGTGAGTTTTACTAAATCAGTTAATTCTAAAAAGGGACATGGGCTAAAGATAGTAAAGGCAGTAGGCATGGCGGTAGTGCCTGAATCCATGTGTTTTGGGGTGATTTATTTTTTCAGCAGGCAAAATCTAAAAGCCAAATTCATTGCTGGCTTTATATATGCCATTACAGAACTTATGCACATTTTGTACGTCACAAGGCAATTTGTTTACAGAGATAGATTTGTCTTGTAGTGTTTGAACTATTTACATTTTTTGTATTTGCATAGAATTTATTTTTCCTAGCACGTGACAATACTGCTGCATTGCTCATTTATAAAGTTAAACCTGAATCAGAGGAAAATGTAAATAAAAATAAAAATAAGCTTACCCTCAGCCACAGTGAGAAGACTGCCAAAGTCTCCAGTGGCGTTGTGCATGGGAGGTGGCTCAGAACTCCTGACTTGGCCTAACATCAGGAAAGGGTCGTAGTCCGTAGACAGATCTGCCAGGCTGAGGAGGTAGTGGCTTTGCTGTGTGTGGAGGTTGGAGCCTGATACACAACAGTGAAGCACCTAAACAAATAGGAAAGAACACCCATGTAACATTCTAGGACTAGATAACAGCTGGTTATTTTTAAAATTTCAGCACCTGAATGTTACAACTGGTAAAACACACATAGTAATTAAAAGATTTAGTATAGTGTAGTGACACCTCAGTGGCACGTTTGATGATTGAAGCTTATCACTCTGACTCTCATCAATATCACAGCCATCCGTCCAAGACAGTAACACTGACCATGGCCTCTCTGGGTGGAAAGAATTGCTCTTCAGAGCCAATTATACGAATCAGACCACACATAGTTCTGTGCAAAAGTCAGAGACCACTCTTCATTCATTTAATTTGCAATCAAAATGGCCATTAAGTACATTCCTGTTTAGAAAGAAGTTGGGACGCTGTGCAAAATGAAAACCAGAATGCAATGATGTGTACAGATGTGCAAGTCACCCATGCCATGTGCACTACTGAACCCCCATGCTGTGAATTCTTCTGTTCTACCACATCCTAAAGGTGTTCTACTGGATTCAGATCTGGTGACTAAACCAGTTTGAGATGACTTCTGCCCTGTGACATGGTGCACTATTATGCTGGAAGTAGGCATTAGAAGATGGACAAATTGTGGCCATGATGGGATGCATATGGTCAGCAACAACATTCGAACAGGCTGTGGCATTACAAAAATGACTGCTTGAAATTAACAGGGCCACAGTGTACCAAGAAAACGATCCCTGCACCATTACACCACCTCCACAAGCCTAGACTGTTGACGTAAGGTAGGTTGGGTCCATGCTGTTGGGGCCAAATGCTGACCCTTTCATTTACATGCCTTAGCAGAAGTTGAGGTTTAATCAGACCAGGCTACATTTTTCCAATCTTCAGATGTCCAGTTTTGGTGAGCCTGTGCCCACTGCAGGTTCAGTTCTCTGTTCCTGGCTGACAAAAGTGGAACCTGACGTGATTTTTGCTGTTGTAGTCAAACTGCTTCAAGGTTTGATGTGTTATGCATTCTGAGATGCTTTTCTGCACATCACAACTGTACAGAGTGGTTATCTGAGTTACTGTAGCCTTTCTGTCAGCTCAAACCAGTCTGGCTATTCTCCACCGACCTCTCATCCACGAAGCATTTCTGTCTGTAGAAAAGCTGCTCACTGGATGTTTTTTTCTTTATTGCACCATTCTGCGCGAATTTTAGAGACCGCTGTCTGTGAAAATCCCTGGAGCAGTTCTAGAAATATTCAAACCTGGAACCAACAATCATGCTGCAGTCAAAATCACATTTTATCCCCATTCTAATGGTTGATGTGAACATTACCTGAAGCTGCCTGCCCATCCTCATGATCATATGCACTGCCCTGCTGCCACACATTTGGCTGATTAGATAACTGCATGAATGAGTTGGTGTACAAGTGTTCCTAAGAAAGTGTTCGATGAGTGTAAAGTTTTCTTTTTTCCTTGCACTGAAAAATGAACAACTTGTACTTAACTACTGTTTTGACCGGAAATGGAATATATTAAAGGGTGGTCTTTGACTGTATCCAGACTTGGGCAGTTAGCGCTCTCCTCCAAGAGTGTTCAGTACTGTGTGCATTCGGTTCCAAGTGGCACAAGTGGTGTGAAAGGAAATTTGAAAGGCTATGGTGCTTAATCCAGCTTCATATGTCGCAGTGCTTGCCTTCACATTCCCAGGTTGGGGGCTATTAAAGGCGAGATACAGATAACAGGTGGGAACTGGCACTGACTAACAAGTGCAAATGTTGCCACACATGGATTAGTCTAGCTGAGCCCAACAGCAGACCATATGGAGGCAAGACATTATTTATTGTGTTAAGCCAGAAGACTGAAGAATGAGTGTTTTTTTTTTTTCCTTTTTTCAGACTAATAATCTATTTCTTATGCAGTATGCCAGTGTATGGATTTGCTTACACAGATGGTCATGTCTCTGTTGGCTGGACAAGATAAGACACGGTCCAGCACAGTTTATCACAGTTCCTGAACAGGGGCGCTCTGTTTGATTTAATTAAGACTTTATCACTTGGCTCGTTTTCAAATACAGCACACACAAACAATAATGCCAGAAGCAAAATAAACGTAATCAGATTGTACCTAAATCTAGATTACAAAAAACTCTTTACTGCTTTACTATCTAATAGAAGTTATGTTACTATCTCATTACATAATTACAGTATCACCTGGAGATAAAGATTATTTCTCTTAATATAACAATACAGATGGACTCCCATAAATCCATGATGTGGACTACGATATAAAAGCTATAACGAAGAAACACTAAGTTAGACAATGTTAGATACACCCACCAAACCATGTCTCACTGCAGCATAATGACTGTGCAGAGGCAATTAGAGTGGTAAAATGCTGCACCACTGATTCTTTTCAGAATCAAAAGTGAAAAACTAAATGTTTAGGATAAAGAAAAAAAAAAAGAACAAGGCAGCTGCTCTACACAGCTCCTAAGTGGCTCCTCTGACTGTTTGCTTGGTGACTAAGTAGTTCCCTTGCATAGCAACAGTCTCATGGACAAGTAAAGGGGAAAGCACACAAATGGAGCCATTTGGAGGCTGATACACACTGAATTCATTCATTGATCTTTTGAAGAAGACAAAATCTAAAGCTATACCCAAAGCTACGTTAGAAATTAAAGCACAAAAATCCTAAATTATGGTTTGATAAATTCTTTAGCATAGTGAATTACACAGATCAAAAATCTCAGCAGATCTTGTTCTGCCTCAAATCTCAACAGACATCATTAAGAACCATCATGGTGTTCTGCCCTTGCCAATTTTTGCACAGAACAAAGATAAACTCAGCTCTACTGTTTGTCCAGAATAACTGTGCTTTTCTACGTTGCTCTGACAGTAAACAGCAGATTAAGGCATGAGTTATGTGCTTGCATTAGGCTACACAGTGACGAGCACTGATAAATGGGAAAATAAAGTAAGCCCACTGTGCATATAATGACTAGCTAAAAATGATTAACAATCATAAGAGTGAAGAGGAAAAATAATGACATTTATTCTCTCCTTTTTGTCTTTGCACCAGGTGCAGTTTCTCTCATATGATGATGAGTTGAATTCTCAAGTTCAGCATTCATTGGCAGGCTTATCAATTGAACAATAGGGCATTTAAATAATTTGGCCATTTTTCCCCCTCTGAGCATGACATCTGCACAAAGGTCTGTGGCCGACCGCATCTGCTCAACAGCAAGGGACTAATATCTCATTCACTCTGTGCCCTGACCTGCCCCTCATCAGTGTTTGATGACTAAAAATCAGCCATCTTCTGAGGGCTGATGAGTGGATTTGCAATACTATGAGCCTTTGTCTGGAAGCACTGAAGAATATACAATACCTTCAAAATATGCTGAGATAAGTAATTTTAAATGTAAAGGAAAGCAGTCAAATTTTGACAGAGTTGCTGTATGGATGTAGTGACCTTTGCTTCAGGGAAAGTGCAAGCTACTCACCCTGTAAATGTAGTCCAACAGAGGAGCTTTCTGAGAGACTGGCTCATCCAGCACAGTCATGGTGATGGGCTCCAGTAAGATGGACAGAGGGACAGCCATGCACCAGTCAAGCAGGCACAGCAGCAGGGACACCATTAACTAAAGCACAAATGGGGAGAAAAGAATCCTTAGTTAATCCACACAGTTTCCCAATTTTAAGGGGATAAATAGTAGAAGACAAGCTGGTTGGACAGAATGTCATGTCTGAAAGATTTCTGAGTTCACAGTATAGCTGCACAAAATACTGGTTGCTAATCACTATCGTAATGTTGGGTTTTGCAATATTGATCTCACAGGCAGTTGAAATACCCAAATGAGCCCACCAATAAATCACATATATTATTAACCACAGATGTCCCAGATGAGTTTTTATGGATGTTTGGATGAACCAAGGGATTCATATGATTACAAATCCTAAATAATTTTGATAAAAAATAATGAAAGCTCATCTTTAATCATCATTTAATGAAGGGTTCATCAACGTACTGTTAAAATATTGCAAGACATATGACAATTGCAGTATAATAAAATGCAATGTTGTTCTAATTTTAGGATAGCTCCATTTCTCTTTTAAACTTCCATTAGTACCGTTAGCCATTCTATTGAATGTTTTTGTTTTGAGTAACTTCGACAGGTAGCATAGCAGCATACATTTATTTCTATTGCAAAAAATGTGTTAATGTTGATGCAAATTTGCCAAATATTGCAGCGATGACTAATGAGATGACCAAGTGTAGAAGATGGCAATATGTCTGTTTTTTAGGCAAAACACCCTGGCTAACAGGGAAAGCCGGCCATGTGTGCTTGGCCTTGGGAAACGAAAACTGAAACTGAGGAGCAGTGATGACCCTGCTATACAGCAGGTGGAGGTAGTGGTCACAATTTTCTAAGCTTTTCCGAATTGAGGTTGTTAAAACTTCCAGTTCATAATACTTGAGTTTTATTTTTTACTTTTTACAACAGCAGCTGTCCAAGCTAAATATCACTTACATTTTGTTACGTTACTTCGATTAGACGTTTACATCTCAACTGTGTGCGTACAGTTTGTTGTTTGTTAATAGACGAAACAATTGATTAAAGACTACTATGTAGTAGTTTTTGTCATATCTCCTAACTTGAGATAAGATGTTGTAAGATAAGACACAAGTCCTAAATTAAGGTAAGATCTGCTTATGTAATATGAATTTGTAAAAAAAATCTGGCCTGAAGCTTATGGATCTCAACTTTGGACTAAAGATAGGACGTTTTGGACCCAGGTCAATAAGTGTCTTCTGAAAGTTTCTGTACTCACCTTTTTATCTCCCTCCAACGTAGAGTGCTCAGCACTGGGTAGAAGAAATGCAATGGTTGCTACAAAAATCTACAAAGAGAAGAAAACAAAAAGCTCGAGCACTATTCATCCTCAGTCAATGCACCTTAGCGAAAGAGGTAAATTATGTGCACATTTTTTTCTGTCAAAAAAAAAAAAGACCCAAATGCACCTACCTCAATTATTCTTTTAGGGAGGGCGTGCTCCAGTTTCTGCAAGTGCTGCCAGTGACAGATTAGCAGCTGAAAGATGTCACAGGCAACATGGGCCACTGCCTTATTCCCAAACTGAAGGAAAAGCAAAAATGAATCATAGTGAAAAAGGATGTTTCTGAACATATTTTTAACATTTTTCAGCTATATTATCACTGGATAATATAAATCACAATAGAAAAAACAGTAGTTCATCTAACAGACTGCATGGTCTGCAGTTTAATGAATTCTGACCATTGCTATACCCACAATTTCTGCAAGTTGTGCTTTCGTTATTTGGAATTTGAAGCACCACAGTGGAAATTATGTTTTTTTTTCCTGAATGCCTCTGAAAGACAGTAAAACTGAGGAGAAATAGCCAAAGACAAAAACACCCTCTCTGAGGTTTTAGGTTCTGCTCCATGTCAAGTTGTACAGCAAAGAGATTACCAGTCCATTTCTGAGGGGAGAGGGCAGCGTGTACAAAGAGCACAAATTGGGATACATCATCTGAGAGTAAGTGGCTTAGAAATGATTCCACCATACCCTTGCTCGTTTCATAGCCCACAAAACAGAGAGAGAGGAACAGCAGAGTGTTCTATTGTACCTTCCAGGTATGTCCCTGATCATGGGTAAACACGTATGTGCACACATGAACACGAAGAGATCCCAGATGATGTAGAGATGGCTAAGACATGAAGGATCACAGTGGAATAACATACAGATAATACAATCACCTTTAATGTGACACCCAGTACATTGATGGCATCTTTCACTTGATGATGAATCTTCTCCTGCCCAAGCTCCTCACACACCCAGAGTCCCAGACTGCAGATAGCAACACACCTACAGCACAGACAAGGCTCAGTACACTGAGTACATCGGTAGGCTTATCACAACACTTATCACAACCCTTTGATCCTTTGATTTTGGAACTACTCAGTATCAACTATATATATATATATATATAAATATAAAACATGGCAACACACAAATAACTTCATTATTTTCTAAGAAAATTGTTTAAAATTATTTATCTTTGGCAGTAACACTTTTATTCTGTAAAAACCTATGCACTATTAGAATAAATGTACTGTTAAAACATTGTAAGACATATGACAATTGCAGTATAATAAAATGCAATGTTGTTCTAATTTTAGGATAGCTCCATTTCTCTTTTAAACTTCCATTAGTACTGTTAGCCATTCTATTGAATGTTTTTGTTTTGAGCAACTTCGACAGGTAGCATAGCAGCATACATTTATTTCTACTGCAAAAAATGTGTTAATGTTGATGCAAATTTGCCAAATATTGCAGCGATGACTAATGAGATGACCAAGTGTAGAAGATGGCAATATGTCTGTTTTTTAGGCAAAACACCCTGGCTAACAGGGAAAGCCGGCCATGTGTGCTTGGCCTTGGGAAACGAAAACTGAAACTGAGGAGCAGTGATGACCCTGCTATACAGCAGGTGGAGGTAGTGGTCACAATTTTCTAAGCTTTTCCGATTGAGGTTATTAAAACTTCCAGTTCATAATACTTGAGTTTTATTTTTTACTTTTTACAACAGCAGCTGTCCAAGCTAAATATCACTTACATTTTGTTACGTTACTTCGATTAGACGTTTACATCTCAACTGTGTGCGTAGTTTGTTGTTTGTTAATAGACAAAAATACAAATAAACATTAACTTTTTTTTTTTGCTATTAATCTCTTTGTTAGAAACAAAGAGAGATTCAAAAACTAACTAATTAAGCTGACTAATCCCATTTTCATTTATTAACTCTAACATAAGCTTTTATTGAGATGCTTACTGGCCTGATAAATGCCTTTGTATATTATTTTCTCAGATGGCCTAAAACTTTTGAACAGTAATGTGCACCATACATGCAAGATTTGAAAATCCCTAGCCAAATAACATATTTTGTTGATTTTTGAAGTGAAAAGAAGTAAATAAAGCCTCTGAAAATGTTAACATGCAGTTCATTTGTTTTTGATTAACTTAGGAAAACAGCAAAGAAATAAATACATAACAAATTGTGCTTAAACAAGTAAATAAGCCACAAATTTCATTTGTTAACATCATCTGTTTTTCTTCAAGAGACATCAGAAAGAAATAAAACAGAAGGCTTTGAATGTCAGGAGCAGTACTGCACATTTTACTATCTTACTATGCTACACAATACTACATTTTAATTAAAGGTGTGCCTTTTTATATCACAGAGTTACAATACAAATACTCTTTTTCCAGTCTGAGGTCCTCAGATCAATTGGTCTTGGCCCTCAATGGGCTCAGCCAAAAATCGAAGGTGACCTGGCTTTTGCACTTGCAGAATCCAGATTCTACAGTCTACCATAGGATATTAGGTTCGCCCCCTCCTGCTTTTAAAGCAAATTAAAAACTTTATTTGATTATCAGATTTTGAACTTTGTGGATGTCTGGGATTATATGCATATTGTTATTCGTGTTGATAAAAAAAAAAAAACTGATAGCACGTATGTTTTGCATGTTTTACAAGTTTTGCTTTACTTTGATTTTAAACATGCTCTACAAATAAACGCTTACTTGTTTTCTCTCCTGATAATTAATCTGAGTTTTATTACAACTCCATTCACCTGATGCTCACATTAAATGCTTCTAGATGCTTGATTAACTGAATCAGGTGTGTTACATCAATTAATTCAATAATTAATAAATAATTGGTTAATTATCAAGAAAAAATATCATTGCATTAGGAGTTAATAATTAAACACTTGAGTTGGTTATTGGTAAAACTGTTAAAAAAAAACTTTTGGGGATTAAATAAATAAATAAATGTATTAATAAATGAATAAATTAATGAATGAAATATACTTCGGCATGTGGTGAACTTGAGACAAAGAAAAAAAAAAAATCAAGAGCAGCAGATGTCCTGTGAGATGGAGTATTTTTATCAAGCAGTCAAAAAAAGTCATCACAGACAAGCACATGCTATCAGAAATATGTCTGCAGCAAAACTAGCTAAATAGATTAGATATCAGGGTGATGGCTAAAGTTTACCTGGCTCCTTCACATGGCTCATTACGTGCTGTCTTCAGCAGAATGTTCACAAGGTAGTCCTAAAGATGGTGAACACAACATTGACACAGTTGGCATGGCAATGTGGCTCCTACACAAACAAAGGAAAGTAGCTTAGACTGATAATAAAGTTAGAGAATATACCTTCATGTCCTCTTTGCCAACCACAATGTCTTGAGTTCCTGGTAAAGACTGCAGTGAAGGGATCTGCTGGTACAGATTGGGGAAGCAGACCAAAGACCCGAGCAATGTTTGTGCTTCAGTCCTAGGTGCCTGTTAACCAAAGCCAGAATCCAAACATCACTGACCTAATACTTACTGAAAAAATGTAAAAAGGAGCATCTCTAATATTCATTTCTATAAACAGATAGCAAACAGTGATATGTGAGTTTGTGACTGGCAAAAATTCAAATGCAAACTCAAATATGTTTCTCTTTTAGCCAGCAGATTTTGAATACTTTCTGACCAAAGAGAAACCACAAAATTTCAAATAAACATTTAAACTACTCATGTCATTCATTTTATGGTTTCACTGCACAGATCTACATTCATTTTGCTATTTAGAAGAGAACACACTCCTTAACCCTTTTTTCATCATACCTGAATTTCTTCTAGACTGCTATTTATTACACCAGAACTGTTAAGGCAGAGCTGTCAGACCTGGAATGTGGCTTTTTTTATTTTTATTACATATATGCTCATTTCTGCATGTTTTCTTAAATTTTTTACTTTTTTCATTCTTGCATTTCCCCTAAGATCTCTATTGATTTTAAAATATTAATTTAAAAATATCAAGCATACGCCGTTAGGTCACACACACTAAGATACATTTTTACTCCTCCCTCTACCCTCCATCAAACAGAAATCTACCCAGTTAGGAATTAACCAGGTGGTGCCACAGAGCCTAAATAATTCTTTATTCAAACAGGTTCTATCTTAGAGGCAGGCTGAGGGTGCGGGTATGAAGATGTAAACACAGGCGAGCAGCAATGATACCTCAAAAGAGTCTGAGTTGAGGACACGAGCAGCAGCAGTGATAAAGTCCCCCACCAGCATGGTGAAGCCGGGCAGGCCCAGGAAGAAGAAGCGCGGTGAGCACCACCTGATCATCGTGTTCAGCACATCCTAAGAGGGGAGGGAGAGGGAGGGAGAGGGAGAGAGAGGGATTGTTTATAAATACACTTTCACGTATGGCACTGTTCTCAAAATAAACCTTGTTACTTTTTAATATATTAAGTTACTGTAGCCCGACAAATATTAAAAGCACTTTGAAAAGCCAGAAAAAGCCATAAACTTTTGAGGAAAAACGTAAGGGTTTGAGCGCACACATGAGAAATGTATAAATATTTATGTTTTGAAGTCAAGTCTACTTTTAAAGCTTGAGAAAACAGATCACTGCCTTAACCTCACAGACACAAACATATGCACCCACACCTCTAGCACACACAGCTCCTTCCTATCTGCCACACTCATTTCCCTTAATGAATCCTTTGTAAAATAAGTGGGCAAAAAAGACACACACAACAGAAAAAGGGACACGACATGGGCAATAAAGTATGGTGAAAAAAGAGACCTGCTGAGATGAAGATGTAAAATTGGTGGAAGCGTTGAGTTCGCATGGACATTTTACCCTCATTTTGCAATAATTGACCTTTACGATGCTGAGCAAGTAGTAGTAATTAACTGCCATAAAACTGCTGGATGATTACACGAAATGAATGCTTTGGAGGAAGCAGCAATTCTGCCAAAGCACTTCCATTATGCAGCTGTAAATACAGCAGGCCCAATCAAAATGTAGTTGGTGGTAAAAAGGCACATGCAGACCTGGAAGGAGGGGATGAGTGTTTAACAGTGACAATTGTCTACAAAAAGAAGAAAACTGAAATGTGTATTGTGCTTTCCAACTCTTCTAGGGCTGCACAATATACCGTTTGCTAACTGTTGTTTCTGTTATCCAGATAATGGCCTCTCTCTAATATGCAAATGAGACCACTAATCTATTATACAAAATACGAGAAACAGTGTGAACTATGAGTACCCTGACAGACAGTTTTTAGCATTTACATGAAACAGTGCGAATCTGCAAACGTCACATTACTAATGTATTTTTCACACCTTATAACATAATGACATGTCATAAACACAATAGGAATTCTGTTCATATCATGACGCTCTAAATTTTTCAAGCTTGAAGGGGATAAACATTTAATGTATTCCAGTTTCTGGACAGATGCCTCCATCTAAATTACTACAGAATGTGAAGATGATCTAGCTACTGTGGTGAAATCAGAATGTTGTTGATCAATAAGGCATCACTGAGCGCATTTATGCCATGTAACACCTGTTGGTTTGATTTGTTAACTGATCTTTTCCTTCGGTAAAAAGACATGCAATAAACCAATATTTAAATATTAACTACAGATCTTATTTGAATATGGTGCCAATAAACGCATTTCATAAGGAGAATGGTTTGCACAAGAGTGTAGACTACTGTATATGTTTTCCTATTGGTCTCTCTTACTGTAAGAAGCTTTTACACATTTTTGGCCAGAGTGTACGCATACATACATATTTAATATAGATTTTTAAAAGGCTTTGCAGTTTCTCTTTTTCCCAGGAAGGTATTCTGGAATCTCTGAAAGCATAGTCAGGTCCATAAATACTTCTATAGACATCACCAGACACTGGGTTTCTTCCCTGGTGTGGCTGTGCCAGGCCTTTACTGCAGCTGTCTTCAGTTCCTGCTTGCTTTTGGGGCATTTTACCTTCTGTTTTATCATCAGTAAGTGAAATGCATGCTGGACTAGATTGAGGTCAGGTGACTGCCATTGCACAACATTCCACTTCCGTGCTTGAAAAAAAAGGCTGCTTTTGGAAAAATGCTTCGGGTCACTGTCTATGTGCTATGTGAAGTGCCATTCAATGTATTTTGAAAAATGTGGGTAAATCTGAACAGACAATACAGCGCTACACACTTCAGAACTTATCCTGCTGCTTTTGTCAGCAGTCACATCAATAAATACAAGGCAGCTAGTTCCATCGGCAGCCATACATACCCACACCATAACACTACCTCCACCACGCCTGACAGATGAGGTATTATGCTTTGGATCACAAGCAGTTCCCTCTCTTTTCCATACTCTTATCTTGTTATCATTTTGGTACAAGCTGATCTTTGTCTCATCTGTCCATGAGCTGTTCCAGAACGGTGTAGTCTTTTTAACTCTAAACTGGGCTTCCTGTTTTTGAGGCTTGTGGTAAACCCTCTGTATTTGCTCTGGTGATGCAGATATGCTGATCTCCTAGAGCATGTTCTTGATCTGTCCAACTGTTGTGAAGGGGTTTTTCTTCACCAGGGAAAGAATTTTTTTTGTCATCCACCATAGTCGCTTTACATGGTCTTACAGACCTTTTGGTGTTTTTGAGCTTATCAGAGCATTCTTTCTTTTCAAGAATGTCCCAAATAGTTGATTTGTCCATATCTAGTGATTCTGCTGCCTGTCTGTTGAGTTTGTTTAGATTTTTCATCTTAATGATTGCTTCACTGGCAGCGATGGCCCTTTGGGCTTCATATTGAGAGTTAACAACACCACATTCCAAATACAAATGCCACACTTGAAATCAACTCTAGACCTTTTATCTGCTCATTCGTAAGGGAACAACACACACCTGGCCATGGAAAAGGTCAGCTCAGGACAATTACTTTTGAGCCCCTAAAATCTATGCTATGTATGAAAATGGTTGTAAATTCTTACACCGTTCACACATTTTGTATGTAAATACCCTCATTTGAGTCATCTGACTTTTAAATTGCGTTATTTATTAGTCGAATGACATTTAAGTCGAATGACATTTGCTTTCTGGGGTGACTCTTTAAACTTTAAAAAAGGTTTGTAAAGACTTGCGTATCTCATTTACAAAAACGGTTCACCATATAACCATACATTAAAAGGCTTTTAAGAGAACAAAGTTTTTCTATGGCATCATACAAAGAACCTTGGCAGTATATCCATTAAATTTTAATTATTTCCCTAAATGGGGAAAAGGAAAATAATTCCTTCTACTAAAAAAGAGAATAAACTTAAGAGGACCACAATATTTATGAACCTTTTTATATATTACAAGTGGGCAGTATGATGGAGAAATAGCAGGATGCTCCCTAAAGAGGCAAGCGTAAGAGGTGTGGTATATGGCTATGTCAGTGTGTACACTCCCTGTGGACACAGCAGAGTAGACTCAGCCAGGTTTCAGCTACAGGTCTTCAGCTTAAGCGAGTGAAACACTTCACAGAGAAAGGAATGAGGCCACTTCTAGTAATCACCATCACTCTGGCTGCTTTTGCTTTTGTCTCCCAGTGACATATGCAGCCTACCTATGCTTTAAAAATGTGACAATGTGAACATCCTCTGTTCACGCCTGCATGCAGGTGTATAAGCAATTACAGAGCTGTCCAGCACCAACAGCCAGCCAAGAAGTCACATGCACAAGGTATGTAATGGTCACAGAGTAAAACTGTGAATCCGCTGTGGTGCAAAATCTGAACCTTCTCTATCTCTTTCCTTCTCTATTACCCCCCTGGATTTGGCACACACCTTTATATTGAGTGTGGACTCAGGCGAGGGCCACAGCAGCCCTCTCTGAGTGTGCTCAGTCCTGTGCCAGAACACCTCCTTCATCCCTCGCCACACACACACAGCAACCATCCATCTTTAATTAATCCCACACACACACCACAGGAGCTCCAACATTATTTAATGACATGGAAAACATTATAATGAGCTTGTCTCTTGGCCAGAGTGGAAAAGCCTGTAGTTTGAGTCCAGGCATGGGCATTTACACAGTCCTACCCTCACTCACACACAAAACAAGCTCTGAATTTCTCTCTTTCAGACACTCTTGCTAAAAGTATGTCTTGAGGTGTGAAATGACATAGATGTTTAGAGGTATACAGATATTTAAATTTAAATACAGATGTTTAGACTTGACCAATATTTCATACTGATATTTGATTCATTCTTTTTAGGCAGCCTTGGGCTACTGTGCTAAAATGTCTGCATCTAACTAATTTTACCGCAATTGTAATCCTATAGAAATAAACGTTACACTTCTCCCTAAGGTTAATCCAGGTGGACTTAGTCCTGGTTTCTACATTTAAAAATGTTTATGTATACACATTAGTAGATAAGTACATGAAAAAAAAAATCAGATAACTGCCTTGGCCCACAATTCCCATATCGGCGCAACCCTAGAATGCATATTTTACCCAGGAGGAAGTAATTAAGTTGATGTTTGAGAATAAGTTACTTACATTAAGGGGAAACAGAGAAAAATACCAAACAAACTCACCAGTGTAATAGAATAGCCATCTATCATTCACAATAAACTGGACACTGATCATTCATTTTACCGTACAGGTTACAGAACAGTAAATGATACCACTGATCAAACTTGTTGCATAAATTGTCTACATATTTTTACAAAACATAATTTGATAAAGTCCACCATGTGGCATTTCTGGCAGTTGCTCTGCCCAAGATCTTGGAATGATTGTGAGATTGACAACAGTACCATCTAGAGGTTAAGGTATGAATTCAGTTTATAGAATTTAATTCTTTTTGTTGTTTTCCCTTATTTATATTTTATTATATTCTATATTTTATTCTGCATTATTTAGGTGAAATTAATGAATTATGTTAATACCTGGCTCTTCTCACTTTACACAGTGAAGCCACTACATGACTACTAGTTACAATATTCAGTCACACATACAGAGCAATGGCACCATCTAGTGGTCACAGTGTGAATGTAAACACCATTCTTAATACTGTGCACAAAACTACTATTTATTTCAGTTATGCTCACTAAGAAAGAACCTGAAAAACAACTGCCCATAAGCAAAATATATATCCCACATACTGATGAAGTATGAAGTATTTATAGTGAGGACCTAACATTCTTCAGCCTGATGGGGGGAAGAAAAATAATAACTTTCTACTAAAAGAGTAATTGTATTTTTTCACCGGACAGGTACGGTATGGTTACAAATCTGTGATCAGGCACTTTGTAATTGTAATTTCCATTGTCAAGTGAACTGAATTGTACCAGAGTATCCACGCTGAATTTGGTTGCCCTTTTTGTCGGGGTGCCAAGCATGCCAAGCTGGAACATATGAGTTTAGCAAGAAATAGTGCAGATCATTTATTGGTCAAATGCCATTGTCACAGAACTGTCGTATGTTGTCACTCAAGACCACCATTTCTAAAATTTCTACCACCACCACCTAGCGAGAACCACCGTCTGTGACGGTACATAAAACCAAATGCAGAGTAAAAGGTAAACCAGAATTAAGTAGATCAGCTCCTTCATTGTTGCTGCTGTTTGAGTTCACGGTTAACTAGCATTGTGTCCACTGTTACCTGTGTTCACTAGCATCAAGGGAGAAACCATGTGACCACCACACAACCTTCAGAGTACCCCTTCTACCTTCACAGTTTAGCTGAGCGGTAGGAAACAGACATAGGGACGGATATTTTGGGCTAAGATTAGTGACAGTACTGCACTGTCCAGTGGAAAAGCAAATTAAATGAACTTATTGGGACCATAAAAACAGAATGTGTGGACTAAAGTCACTACAACTCATGTGGGTTGTCTCATACCGGGTCGTCACTGGTGAAGCCTTTGTGCATGACATGGTAAAGATGTACCAGGAAGTCACTGTTGGGCAGCACATCCTGATGTTTAGTCATCATCTCACAGATCAGCCTATAGGCCTGCAGCTTTCCGGTTTTAAACTCTGCAGGGAGCATTGTGGCCTAGAGACACAGAGAAGTATTATGAATATTAAGAACCATGGAAAAGTAATTTTGGACAAATGTACATCAAACAAAAATACTACCTTCTCCAGACACTACTAGATCAAAAACTTGACCTCTACATGTAATTAACTGCTTGTCCAAGAAGCATAATAAAGGGTAGTTTATAGAGGAATGTCTCACCTTGAAAAGCCAAGAAGCCAGCATTCGGAGAGGTGGAATGTAGAGAGGTCTCGGCAGAGCTGACTGGTTGTCTACATTAATCCCCAAATTATCTCTTATCTGCAATTAGAAATGGCAAATATAAAAATGACAACTAATCAGCAAAACAATAATTTGTTTCATTTTCAAAGAACTACAGTGCACAATTTGATTCAAAATGTTAGATATCTGGATTAAGCCTTGGTGGTTTAAAGGTATAGTTTGGCAAAAATGAAGTTTCTACCAAGTTCCCTTTATGGAAAACATATCACATAGTTTAAAACAGTAGTAGCAGTCTTGAAGCCTGAATGTTATCTGCACTTTTGCACAGTTTCTTAAAGAGTATGTCATACACAGTCAGAAACCACATAAGTCTATTTAAGATTACTTAAACTTTATGTGGTTCGAGACAAGCGCATGATAATTTAGGTATGCAGTTTACGTAATGTTTATTGATGAGGTTGGGCAGCTGTGTAAATCAGATTTTTTGCCAACCTACTCCTTTAAGGTTTGCTGAATATATGAGAGCGAATACCAGTGTGCTGGTATTACCTTTGCTAGCTTGTGCCAAAGCTCATACAGGTAGCTAAAGACCTTTGCATGGATACGAGGGCAGCGGATGCTATTAACATCCCCCAGAATTCCCAAAATCCTTCTCCAGAGCACAAACGCAGAGTCAGCATGCCAGCCAGTCAAACAACCACCTGCAATGATGCTGATGTCATCAGCCAAAAACTCGCTGCTGTCTGCAAAGCAAACAAAACAGACAGTACATCAAACATGGAAAGACGAAAGACAGAAATGACAAAATGATAAGGACAACCGTTCAAATTTTAGAAAACTTTAGCAAAAGTACTATGACGTTGGTAAATGAAATGAAGTGCTCAGGCTCAAGGGAGGATGCTTTTCACACCAATTTTTTGTCAGTTTAAAAGCTGTTTCCATAACTCAGAAAGAAGCAAGCTTAAAAATGTAATCTATTTAAGTACTAAACACAATGGGACCAGTGTTCCCATCTTTTAGAGAAAAACATATGTGCTAATACTTCAGCATACTAGTGGAACAAGCAGAGTTTTTTTAACAGATGCCACATTCATGTATACCAGAAAACCTTAGTGACAGCCAATGTTACCAGAATTCCTTGTTTACTGTTTCGCTTTCACAGTCGATAGCTGAGTAAAAATCAAACAAGAAGAGCTTTGGTATGACATTCTCCCAAGTCTGTCTGACTGGTAAGGGTTAATAACTATGCATTATACATGTAAGCAGTGCATATTTCAAAATCTATTTAAGGAATTCAGCCAATGTCCAGTGACTTCTATTATAAGTGTGTTTCTTCAGTTTGCCTAGTCTTTATTTAGTTCAGTGAAAAACGTAATAATTGTTCTCTGAGGTAATCGATAACATAATACAGATGTGGTAAGCAGGAATTCAGAATGAAACTGCTGGAATATTACAGAAAAAATTAGACATAAAACAACCAAAACACAAAGCACCACCGCATTCCATTGCATCTCATGATTAAATTCAATTCCACTGGCATTTCAAACAGAACATGTGACAGAGTAGGGGCACAGTTGGGTTGGAGGTCAGAGAGGATGCAGACGGAAAACTGGTGCAGTACCCAGATCATGAGGCATGTGCATGGCATCCTCCAGTAGCTGAGAGCCGTCGCTGTAGCCCTGAGGCAGCAACAGGGCAGGAGAAACAGGGGGGCATGGGGACAGAGGGGCAGAGTGGAGCGAGTGGATACACTCAGAACCTACACACATACACACACACACACATAGTGATGGAAGCACAAAATGGAGAATCACAGACACAGTCAAATCACAAAAGGAAACACATGTAGACTGGTCACAAAGCTAGTAAATGATTCACTATTAGAATCATTATCAAATGTTAGAGGAATTAACATTTGATCATACAGTGCTTTTGACATTTCACAAAATGAACCTATAATTGACAAGAATTCATTGAAGTGAATGAATTAAGTTTCACAATTACAGAAGGACACATTTAAAGACAAACAATGAGATATATAAAATCATAAAAAGGCATGTCACACAACAACTGACACATCATGCAGAGCAACACATTCACAAATACAGTGAGCAAGTGTAGCAACAAGCTGCATTTGTGACTATTAGAGTTTGTCCTTCAGTTCAGACAAAACTTGGTCAAAACTATCTCCGAAAAAATGTATCTGAACAGGACAAGGAAAAAAGAAAGTTCTTTTTTTTTTCCTCCCACATACTTTTTGGACAATTTCTGAATAAATAAATAAATACATAAATGAATGATTGAATGAATGAATGAATGAATGAATGAATAAATAAATAAATGGATAAATGGATGGATGGATGAATAAATAAATAGTCACTGTTGGGACAAAACCTTGTATCTCCATAGATATACACCTACAACAATGCTATTTTCTGCTAGCTTGTGGAAGTTCTAGCTGCATGTTAGCACAAAGCTAATAGCGATACTTCGTGGCAGTTCTACCTGCTGCTGTTTTCTGTTTCTAACATTGACTGAAACGCACTAGTCAGTCTACCAGTTATACTTGCAGTCAGTGAGGTATCTAGGTTTAGTCCCACTCATCATAAAACCATAAAATGCCAGATGAACCACTAACATAATTAGGAACCAAGAGTGGAATCAAAAAATCGTTTTGTGATTTTCAGTGAGTGTTACCAAACCTAGATACATCACTGACTGCAAGTATAACCGGTAGACTGACTAGTGCGTTTCAATGTTAGAAACAGAAAACAGCAGCAGCTTTATGGGCTCTTTACTGAGGGAGTCACAGTAGAACTGCTATGAAGTATTGCTATTAGCTTTGTGCTAACATGCAACTAGAAATACCACCAGCTAGCAGAAAATAGCATTGTCGTAGGTGCATATCTATGGAGACAAAACTGCAACTAGATAAAGCATATCTGTGGACAAGGTAATTAGTAGTTTTTTCAACCTAGTTGCAACCACAGTTGTTGTATTTAAACTAATTAAAACTCAAATGCAACAACTATGACGATATTACATAAAAATGAACTACAAAATTTTTTTATTTTCCAGAATCACTAGATGTTCTTTGCAGGTCCTCTCTGAAGGCCAGATGGTTCTCCACTGGTAAGAACATAGACAGCAAACTTGATCACCAGAAAGGTGGATGAGGGGCCAAAAGTGCACATGCTTCAAGAGGTGTGAAGAGGTGTGAATACCAGTATGACACTGTTGTATGATATAGATTTTTCCAGATAATGGAAACCACTATGTTTTTGCAGAGTATTATCTAAAGGTGTACCAAAACCTGGAAACCCTGCATGTGTGAGAATATGAAGGAGCTACTAGAACGTGTGCATTAACAATAAAGGAAATGGAGCTTTATAAATGCAAACAGTCTCAACACGTTTGGTTGTGGGTTGGTGTACCTGCCAGTGCCTCAGAGTGGCTGAGCAGTAGGCTTCTCTGGCTCTCTGAGTCCGCTGCCACCCCCACACTCACACTCACACTGACGTCGTTGGGAGAAGGGCAGTCGGGTTCCTCCTCTACAGTGTGCCACGTCAGAAGACTAACGTCAGGGTCGTTGAGGTAGCAGTTGGAGGTCTCGCTACTCACGCTCTCACCTGCAAAGAGAGGGAGAGATACTATAGTATAGATGTACTTTGTGATAACATGGCAGCTACAGCGAGCAACTATACAATCAATTTCTTCTTCTAAAATATTTACTAGGTTGCAATACATGTAGCCAACACTGTTTCCACACTGTTTCACTACATTCTTCACTTACATATATATTTGAACGGCACTAGATTCTCATTTAAACACAGTTAAAGCCATCAACACGCTGGGTAGCTACAGGCTGGTTTTAAGAGAACTTATAGGGCATGTCTGATGAACCTGGTTATACTGCACTGATGAATGTTTCTGTTGGTTGTATGTTTTTGTAACAGATGAGTATTAGCTTACTTTTCTCCTGCAGCTTGGTCCTTGCACTGACAAGTCCTGCCTCTCCAGGGCAGTCAAGATCTCCTGGACTGCTGCTCTGCCGAACTAGAATCTAAATCATATGTGAAGGAAATTAAAAGAGATTTAAAACAGACTTGAAAAGAATTATGTAAGGTAGTCTAAATTAATAATCACTGGGATGAGCAAGATACGCTGCAATCTAAGGCAGTCATAAATCATTCTAAACAATTCTCGATAATGACATTAGAAACTTTTTTTTTTTTTGTGCTAAAATTATAATACATTCCAACAGACTGCAATACACTTTGGAAAGTTATAAATTACAGTCAATAGGTTAATCAATTATGGAAATAATCATTAGTTGCAGCCCTACTGCAGTCATGAAGAATAACAGTGGGATATGTATAACAGGACTGACCGTGGGAGCCTCACTCTCCCTTTTCCCCACTGAGCTGCTCTCAGAAAACCAGACTGTGCCATCAGAGCTGCCTGTGTTTGGAGAGTCCTCCCTCCTCTGACCTACAGTTTCACATACATACACAGAATAAAAAAAGGGAAAGGTTTTGCAATGTGTTCTTGGTCTGAAATTTGCATCCATCATCTGCAACATCATGGCAGAGCAGGGCAGTATCTCAAAAGTGAGGCACCTATTTCATATTTGTGTGTATGTATGTTCGTACCTGGGAAGGAGTCAGTGAGCTGCTGAGTGATGTCTGAGGTGCTGCTACTCCGAGGAAGAGGACTGTCTCCCTCCCCCATCTCTCCTTCTCCACCACATTCAGACAACTGACACTCTTCCACATCTGACACAAGGAGGAAAAGATGCCATAAGTCCATGATCATATCCAATATTGTGCAAAAGTCAGAGAACCTTCCTTTATTTAAGTTTCAGCTAAAATGGCCATTAAATACTTATAAAAATATAGCAATGTAATAAAACATGACTTCCAAAAACATAAAAAAAAGAAATCTGAACACTCTTGCTTCAGATCTGAAAAAATCAACAGATCTTTCTTTTTGTCCTTCCACTGTGAGAAGACAACTCAATGCTGAAGTCTAAAAGGATGTGTGGATGTCAAGAAGCCATTACTGAGAAAAATAAGAAGTCCAGAGTCCAGAAGTCAACATTATTGAATGTGTCTGGGATTACTTGGATCGTGGGAAGCAAAAAATGTGACCAATGTCTAAGACTGAACTTTGAAGATGTGGAAAAATATCCCTGCAGATTTCAAAGAAAAACTAAAAGCAAGTCTCCCAAAAAGAAACGAAAGCTGTAATAAAGGCAAAGCATGGACTCAGTAAATACTGAAACATTTTCTATGTAGGCTTCTGTCTAATTTTGCGTTAAATATATGCTTGGCTGGTTTGGCTGGAAACTAAATAAATGAAGGGTGGTCTCTGACGTTTACACAATGCTTTAAAAAAGGCCTCACACAGCATGAACGTTATATGATATGGGGAATGTTATTACACCACTCTAACATCACAATAAGATGGTATGTCATGTACAAATCTAAGAAATGGTGAAGAAAAAAAAACTCGGAGGAAATCTAAATTTAATGACTTTTTGTCAGAATATGGTGAGACGTTCAGGGGCTATATTGTATGAGAGAATGGAGAAAGTTCAAGAGGAAGAGCTCGGATAGGAAAAAAGATGTGAAAGAAACAGTGCAAAGTTACCTGAGAGTCTGTGAGAGCAGTGAGAGTTGTGAGAGATACCAGGTAAGAAAGAGCTGACAGTGTGCAGCAGCATCGGCACACTCTTAGTGGCCGGCAAAGCTTCGTACAGATGCACACAGTTGCTGATAGACTGGCTTCGCTTAGCTACTCAAAGAATGAGCAGGAAAAGATGGAAAGATGGAAAGATGGGGAGAGAGAAAGAGGAGAGAGAGAGAGAGAGGAGAGAGAGAGAGAGAGAGAAGAGAAGGCAAAGTCAATCACAACTCACACCAGTGAGAAATATTGCACGCAAAGCGCTTCTCTTTGGAGGAGTACGAAACAAGGAAAGTAAATGATCTAAGTCAGTCTGGAACAGTCTGGGATAATCTGGGATTTTTTTTAATTAAAAAAATATCAAGTGATATTTACATATCATCTATACAGATGCAGCACAATGTCAAAAAACAAACAAAATGTTTCTTTTCTGTTCAAATACTTCAATAAATCTGTGGTCTAACTCATGACCACATTCACAAAATGTGAAGAAGTTAGGCCACCAACACACAGCAATATACACTGTATACAGAGTTGATGAGTACAGCGTGTTTTCTAAAGTGCTAAACACCCTCACTGCAACTGCAAAAAGTAATTTTTAATGCTTTTTCAATCATTTATACCTTTAGTCTCTTCAAAGCATCCTTTGATACTCAGTGCCTAAGCGGGTAATGTGAAGTATACAGTTTTCAGTTTTCTCTGCCAGTGATGATAACATTACTATTAATATGACTATTGTGTTTAGACGGCACTTCATGTCACGTCTGGTGGAGAGCTTTGAAAGAGAAAGGCTCTGTTCTTCCCTTTACACTGTACGTTTATTACCGGCTTTGCTTTTTAGATAACATCACTTTCGTTAGGTTACCTTTTTATGCATATTAATGAGCATTAATTACGCTCTTAATGAATCTATCAAAAACAGCCAAGCATTTGATGTTGCCGGCTCTCTTAACAAAGAGAGGAGAACGCTGGGCCTTTTGAAGATGAATGTAGGAGAAATTCAATTAGGCAAAACAAAGTGAGGAATGTGGAGCCAGTTTTTTTATTTTTTTATTTTTCTTCATGTGGCTTGCTGACAAGTGCACACATATCTTTGGGTGGTTTATAAGAGCCATACTTCAGTTTCAAATGCATCTGCTCCAAACTCGAGCAGCTCTCCAGAGATGCAATCTCCTACGCAGGAAAGGAAAGGCGAGAGCCAGTGGCAAGCTTGTCGTTAGTGAGCTTTCCGAAAGCAAGAGACAGAAAGAAAGACAGAAGGAAAGAAAGAGTGTATATTAATATAGAGGCAGAGTAGTGTTCTGACCTGAGGCTTTCTGTCTAACATTGTTGCGGGCCTTCTCCACAGCGGGGGCTCCAGTGGTGGTGGCGCTGCGGAAGCGCATGGGCTCTTGAGCTCCAGGCTGCTCTCCTGAATTCCTCCAGCTCAGAGAGAATGAGCGTGCTACTGCTGATGCCTTCTGAGAATCCTGCATCACTCCTACACAAACACCATTACAGACCATTACTGTTATTACCGGAATCAAAGCAATGGACAAAGGTTAAGAGTGATGCATGTATTCTCACAGAGCAATGCCAGAGACTCCCAATCTTAGTCCTGGAGTATCTCAGTCCAGCACATTTTAATGTTTTCCAGCTTTAGCACACTTCAGCTTAGGAGGGGCTTCTTAATTAGCTGATTAGTTGGATCAGGTGTGTTAGCACAGGGCAGGGGTACTCCAGGCAGGGGTAGACAGATATACATTTGCACTGGCCATTCAGGTCATCAAAATGAATGAATCTTGCAGCCAAAACTGGGAATGTGTGGTCATAATTACAGAAATATGTTCATTATATACACTACAGTACTGTACAAACGTCCTAGGCAACATATTATTTGAAATCATTAATCTTTGCAGTAATTGAGGTTTTACTTGTAGAAACACCTTTTGAACATTAAAATGCAAGCAAAATTAATGCAGTGAAAAGGTACAAGAATTTCTCATTTTTAAAAAATGTAGCTGAGATATGCTTGTTAGCAGAATAAAGACTGGTGCCCAATTTCATTTCTCCTCCATTGCATAAATTTATTTAATTCCTTCAACAGCACACCTGATTTATTTTAACAAAGGACTGCTTAACCAAATCAGGAACTGGATGAGAACTACAATTAACACTGCGCTGCCATGCGAAGAGTTTTAAAAAAGGTTATAAACATGGTCTAACAAAAAAGTTCTGTTCGGTAGACATTTGTGAGTATGTTAAATGTAAAATACATAAAAAAAATAAAAACATCAAGGCAAGCGGCCACTTGAGCCACCACCCCTGCATCTTTATACGTGACATTTCGTGGCCAGAGGCACTGGACAACAGGTATTGTCTGCCCTTGACCCTTGGACAAGGGTTGGAACAGAAATATAACCACAAATGCAATGACATACAATCGATTATGAAGATCTTCAATAAATTGTACGCTGATTTTTTTTTTCCAAAATAAAACTTTTAAATGTTAAAATGTAAAATGTAAAAAAAAACAAAAAACAAAAACAAAGCCAAACAAATCTAGGAGAATTACTTTTTATTGTCTGTATTCTACTGCTGTGAAACACCCTCAGTCACATTCGTGTATTTAGCAAACTGCATTCTGAATTGTTACCTAAAGAATATTAATCAAATCGTATCATTTTAAGGTCTGATATTTCCACCTCCAACACTTAGCATAAACACACACACACACGTGCACACACACAAACAAACCTCTGCCACGCTGCTTCTTCTCTTTCTGCTCAGAGAGCTTGTCGAGAGGAAGGTTGTTGAGGTCCAGGCCATAGACACAGCGGGCAAGCACGACGGTCAGGGAGTCCATGATGCTGGCCCACTCACTCACCAGCTCCTCCCAGTGGCTGAGTGAGGACAGCACCGCCAGCAACTCATCCCACAGCTCCCGAGAAATGAACACACTCAGGTTGGCCCGCACCCATGCCACAATTATGGTCTGCAAGAAAACAAATGTTTCAAAGAAAAACAAGAAACAACAATCGCACCCCTGACCACAGTTATTCACATGATAAAATGATAAGCCCTACAAGTTTTAGCGTTCTCTCATCAGGAAGCTACAGCATTTGGCAGTGAGAAGGGGCTGCTGACTCACTCTAAACAGAACGCTGGCAAGGCTCTGGGCAAAAATATCTTTTCTTTGGTCTTCCTGCGGTTTCTTCATGACTGCCTCAGTGATCCTCAACAGTACCTTCAACATCTGCTCCCTAAAAAGACATTTGGCACAAATGCATCAGCATGTGAGTCTGATACTGTCTGTAAGAAACAGAGACAAACACTTACCAAGTCTGTCTGTTCATGTTTTGCTCCATGATCATGTGGCGGTAGATGCTGAGCACAGCTCTGCAGACCTCCACTTGATTTTCCAGCAGTTTTGGAACATCCTGACATGGCTCCAACAGGAACACATTAGCAGAGTTTGTCAGAAAAACCTGGGGGACCAAACAAAAAAAAAAATTAAATAAATAAATAATGAACTTAAAGTGAGTGGGAAGAATAGCTTAATTTTTCTCTCCCTAATGATTCACAGTGATGTAAGCCAGTCATGGATAGCTAACTATAACTATCAATAAAATAAACCAAAAGTGGCACAGGTGTAAAATCACAACTTTCAAATTTTTCACGTATTAAAAAACTGGTCACATTGGTCATTCATTGAGTCATTATGAGAATCACAACAATTTGAGCCTTTTAATGTTTTGCACTGGCCAATATTGCAATGTGTACTGTTCTGAAGTTTGTATTTGCACCAATCTGTCATGAACTTTTTCAATGTGTTTTGTATGCATGTTGCAAAAGTGATGACAGTAAAGAAGGTTTTGTTATGCTGTACTGGTATAAAGACAAATTGAACTTAAATTAAGAAGCTCTCAACAACAAAGACATGTGATCTCCCCTTAGCCACTTGACTAATCCTTGGTAAAAGGTATACCTTCACTTTGACATTTGACTCTGTGTGCATGTGTGTACCTGTAGCGTAGGCTGGATGCCAGCCTTCACATCGTGGTTCTGTTCTTCAGTCAGACAGCCTCTGCTGATGGCACTGCTGAAGGAGTAAGTGCGCCCCCAGCTGGATGACCTCTTGTGTCCATGGCTCTCCAGCACCTAGCGGCAGAAAGGCCAGTTGAGTCAAAACACTTGCTTAAAAAGCTCACATAAACATAACAGTGAACCAACACAACAGTAGATTTATTTAAAATTATGATTTTTTTTTTTGCCTGAATCAGCAATAAATTTGTAGTGCCACATTATCAAATTTTTGCATGTTTAATTGTTTACCATTGGTTTTAGTAATCAGCATTAAGTCCACAACAAAAAATGTTAAAAAACCGGTGGAATCACTCATAACACCATAATAGTGACATGTATGTGTGTTTGTATGCTTTGCAGTAGAACCTGTGAGTGTGTGGTGTCAGTCTGAATTGGCTGCAGCCCCTCCTCTGCCTCTTCCTCATCCTGATCGGTCTTATCAGGCTCGGTCATAAACATGGGCCTCTCCTGCAGGATCCATTTCCTGTACACTTTAATCACCTTACGGGTGGCTGAGGCCTCACAGGACGGCAACAGGAAGGCCTGAGGGGTGACACAATATGGCTGTTATGACTTCTGCCTTAAATGAGACGCCAGCTATTACCTATAATTGCTTTATTACACATCATAGGTGCACCAAATATAATTGAAAAACCAAATTTTTATATTTATACTATATATATATATATATATATATATATATATATATGTACATATATATATATATATATATATATATATATATATATATATATATGTATATTTATAGTAGCAAACTGTGATATGATGACATTTGGCACTACTTTGTTAGGCTCAAGTTGCAAATCAACCTCTACTATTTCTGTGCTAAGGACTGGTTACTCTGATGTTGTCTAGAATAATGCAATAAAATCTGATATACACAAAACCTAGTCTCAAAAGAGGAAAGACTAAGCAAATGTTTTAAGACACACTATTAAAGCGTAAAAGGTATATATGTTCTTAAAAGTACAAAATATCTAGTGTGCACATAGGGTAGACTTCACATTATTGAAAAGAAAAGATAAATACATAAACAAACATTTTTGTTGCATAATAGCAAAACACTATTGCCTTGAGGGATCGACAGGACAGGGCACAAGTTGCTCAAACCGCAGGGTTATGCTACATTTCTGCAGAGTACTATTTTGTAAAAGCATAAGCTGCACCAACAGTGTGACCACAAGATGGCAGCACTGTAACATAAAGCTTATGCCAACTGAGCAGACTCTGTAGAAAGCTTTAAATTCACATGTACATGATCTGAGCTGACCTGGTGGAAGACCTCATTGACGAAGTTGACATTGTCTCGCGTGGAGAGCAGGATGCAGTGCACCATGTCATAAACACTGCGATGCTCCTCCTCTATGCTGCACAGGCTGGAGTTGCTGGCTCTGCGGTCAGACAGGGTGCTGCTGTTTGAGTGGTTCTTCTCCTGCTCTACTGGCCCATTAGGCTCTGGCTCATTACTCTTCTCCTGACTGCTACTGCCCGCAGTTACAGTCTAGACCAAGCACACACAAACATGCCCAAGGGTTACACTGAGGCTACACAATATGGACAAAATTCCCATATTGTGATTAGGTTGCTGCTATTACAGGGACATAACTTACAATACTTTAAAGGAACATCTGGGTTTGGATGCTCATTGCACATAATGAAACATTTGGGCTTATTTGCATACCACAGTTTCTCTTGTGACATTACTACATTATTCTATCAAAAATGCCAATAAAACAATTAATAAACAATATATTGCTCGTCTCTAGTTTACAGTTTCTAGTCTGTATTCATGGAGCTTGTCAGAGTCAGAGCTGTGCTAATCTGGGATCTGTTCCTGTTAGTAATGTCACCGTAAATAGGTGAGGAATCTGATCTTACATTATCACTCCTACTCAGAGAAGCTTTATGAATACCAGCCTCTGGCTCTCCAGCAAATCAGTATTACTTCAATGCAGACTATTCAAGCACAAACTAACTTTTGCAGAGGCAGATCAGATATTTGAAAAAATCTAAAATAAAATACAGACAGCAAAAAAGAAGCTGTATGCTTTGAAAATAATTTGTGTTTAAAGAACAACCACCCCAAAGAAATTTTGACTGATTGACTGTTGACTGGTGTTGCTCCTTCTCCTACCTGGATGATCTTGGGAAGAACTTCACCTCCATTTTTAGCGCCAGTTGTAGCTGTGCTCACATACTTCTTCTCCAGGAAGAAGTTGACCAACCAGGTGATGAAGGCCACGCGAGGGGCCAGGTACTGATCTCTTGTGCAGAACGTACTCTCACTGTTGCGTGACACTGGCAAATAGAGGGGCTTTGGTCTGTGGTGGGGTAGGTCTGAGAGTGGATAGATGCGGGAAATAAAATCAGATATTCATTGTGAGTGAGGAAACAGATATTGAAATAGAAGTAACAGCCATAGAAAGTGCAGATATTGAAAGAGAAATAATGTCTCAATGAGAATGCAGAAGCACACTTAAACCACATAAAATTATTTTTCTTGTCATCTTTTTTATAACAGACTCTCAAACTCTGGTTTTCACTGGTTCTGCCAATCAAATAATTTCTAAAATATCCAACAATAAATTCTAAATACGTTTTCCCTGAATAGCTTTCGGTATTAAAAGGGAATTCAATGTTCAATTCAACACGGAGTGATTCAAGCAGGGGTTCTGGGGTAATTGGCAATTAACTTCAGCAGGCAGGAGGGATTGCCATTTATCCTAAAAGGGAATACTTTATTAAAGCTAATGGATGGGAAGGAACATGTGGGTAGTAGCAAAGCCCTATGTGTACAGTGCTCTCACAGTAAAGGATATACTGATACATACCATATAGCTATTGATCTATGGGGGTGAAATATATGGAAAAACACAATATTGCAATAACTAAAGAAATCATTTTGATACACTATACAAACAACATTTAAGATATTCAATTAAAAAAATAATGCACCAGCCAAACAAATTAAAAATGCTAAAAAACTATAGTACATGTATTACATTTTTTATTTTTATTCAACATAAGAAACAAACAATTAAACTGAATAAGATAGTGGCATCGATTCAGCTCTGTGGTACTATGCTGTTTTAATTCAACAGTGCAACATCAGTGGTAGTTGCTTATAGGCTCTCTGTAATTGATACGAAAATACAACCCCATGTCCAAAAAAGCTGGGATGCTGTGCAAAATGTAAACAGAATGCAATGTTTTTTAAAAATATATGCCCATTTTGAACTTGATCCCAGCAAAAAAGTTGGGACAGGAGCATGTTTACCACTGTGTTACATCACCTCTTCTTTTAATAACACTCTGTAAGCATTTGGGAACCGAGGAGACCAATTGCTGCGGTTGCCAAAGCGAAATGTTTTCCCATTCTTGCTTGATATAATATGTCAGCTGTTCAACAGTTTGGGGTCTCCTTTGTTATGTTTTTTTTTTGTGTGTGTTTCATAATGCACTCAATATTTTTAATGGGTGACCAATCTGGACTACAGACAGGCCAGTTTAGCACCCAGACCCTTTTACTACAGAGCCATGCTGTTAAAATATGTGCAGAATGTGGTTTGACATTGACGTGCTGAAATAAGCAAGTCCTTTCCTGAAAAAGACGTTACCTGGATGGCAACATATGTTGCTCCAAATTCACAGTCCTTCTGGCTTGTTTCAGAGCACAGGCCAGAGGATGCGGCATCCATGATTTCCAAAGAGAATTTCAAATTTTGATTTGTTGGACCACAGGACATTTTTCCACTTTGCCTCAGTCCATCTTAAACGACCTCAGGCCCAGAGAAGGCAGTGGCATTCCTAGGTCCTGTTTATATATGATTTCTTCTATGCATGGCTGAGTTTTAAAGCATTTGTCGATGTAGCGACAGACCATGGTTTTTGGAAGTGTTCCTGAACCCATGCAGCGATTTCCACTGAAGAATCCTGTCTGTTTTTAATGCAGTGCCACTTGACCGTTTAAAAATCACAGTCTGCCAGTATTGGTTTTCGGTCTTGTCCCTTGCATACCGAGATCTTCCTCAATCTTTGAATGACATTATGTACTGTAGATGATGAAATCCCTAAGGTCTTTGCTATTTTATGTTGAGAAATGTTGTTGAATTGTTGCTGTATTTGCCTGCACAGTTTTTCACAGAGTACTGAACACCTCCCCATCTTTACTTCTGAAAGACTCAGCCTTTCTGGGATGCTCTTTTTATACCCAGTGTTATTAACCTGTTGCCAGTTAAAATAATTAGCTGTGACATGTTCCACTATCTGTTTTTTTCTTTCTTTTTTTTTTTTACACAGCTTTACAACACATGCGCACACACACACACACACACACACACACACACACACACAAACTCTTACTAATACTCTCCAATTAACTCTGACTTACTGAGGAATGCAAGGTACAAACTCACCAAGTAATGGTTTATAGAGGTTGGTGAGCTTGGTGAAAGAAGGGAAGAGGTGAGGCAGGTAGTACTTCTTAAAGAGGGTGAAGAGAAACCTGAAGCCTGAGTCTTGACTGTCTTTCTTGTGCCATTCCAGACTGGATGCCTATGAATAGAGATTCAGATAAGAGTTCAGCTAATTCCAGAACTCACCAAGACAAACTGAAAATATTATTGATACACTAGGCATGCAGTGATGAAGAGCAGTAGGATTATCCCAAAATCATTTCAACCACCAAAGTTTAGCCACATTGGCAAAGAAACAGGTCACTATGGGCTACTTTATATACAGAATATTTTATAATTTCTTATTTATTGAGCCAACATGCAGAATTACAATACCCTATAGGTTTTGAATAAAAAGAAAATGTATATATCAGCTGAAAAAAAAGTTAACTTTTCTTGCAAAAACACACGTCACAATGACACCCCAAGCAATTCAGAAAGATGCCTAAATTCACACCAAAATGCTTCACTGCCCATAGAATCATGTTCCGCAGCGGCCAACGCAGTCTCCAGACCTAAACCTTACTGAAAACCTGTGGGATGGTGTGAAGAGTCCATAAACAAGAACCACAGATTCCAGGGGATCCGGAAAGACTTTGTATGGAGGAATGGTCTCTTTATGTGCTCTCTCAACTGGCATTATAAGAGAAGATTGCAACAAGCCAAGAGGTGCCAATGATTGTATAAACATTTCTCTTTCTGTAAATCATATTACCTTACTGAAAGATTAGAAGTCACCATAAGCTTACTCTCAAACAAAGATCTTTATTTTTTGACTGTGATCTCACCTGGATCACCATGAACTTTAACACAGTTTGGAGGATGTAGCAGGTCTGGTCATCCGCTACCTTCTCCCCAGGAACAGCAGGCACCAGTGGGGTGATCTCCTCAGGTACAATCTTGGCTACACCATGATAAAAATAGGAATATGTTATGTCACCACAAAATTTGTCATTTGAAAACCTAGGAAAGTCCACTTGAGTGCAAATTGCAATTTTTCACTCGTCCTTTCAGGTATAAAGATTTCTGGTCATAAGAGCAAAGGCACAAGGACAGTGAGCATTTCTAGTATTTGGACAGTTCAAGGACACCAAGAAATTCAGAGATGAGACATCCAGGGAAATCAATCCTTTCAGTATTTTTCTGCTTCTAGTTTTCTTTGTAAACAACATTTCCCAGAGGTGGTGTTTGATAATAGAAAGATATAAAGTACCTGATATACAAGGCTATTATTAAAGAATGTTGAACGAAAAGCATCATCCAGAAAAATAAAGCCACCGGGTTAACACAAACGTGTGAGATGAAGTCCTCCAAGAGCACCATAAACAGTAAGGTGGAGATTAAAAGGATGCATGACAAATTAATGTTTTGGTAATCTGGCTATAGCAAAGGAACATCCAAACACTTCCACCATATTTATCCATGTCACAAGACAATTGTGTAAGGGTGGCAGTTGAACTGACACAACCGTCTCCACTCAATTATTAAAAATGTGGCAGACAGCAGGTCTGGTCTAAGCAACTATGAGGTCTCACCATCAGGGGGGTTGGAGAAGGGATTATAGATGATGGTGTCTAGTGTGCAGGGTCCCCTGGATGACGGCACTGCGGGGAAGCCGGGCACCAGGCAAGCAAAGATGAGCAACTGCTCCTCGGCACAGTTAGTCTGCAGAGCCTGCAGCCACAGCAGGAACAGTCGCATGCCCTCACAGCGGATCTACACATACGTAAACCATACATCACAATTACAACACAGGTATATACCTACAGAAATCTATTACTGTATGTTTGCAAGTATACATGATGTGACCTGATTTGAGAATCTTGCAACTGTATCTATGTCAGCTTACCTTAAAAGAGTTTCCAGTGTGCAAAAGTTTTTTGAGAATAGAACCTAGATAGAAGAAAAAACATAACAGCAGAGTAAGTACAAACGTGTAAAAACATACTCACTACAATGTATATAAATGCTGGCTTTCAGTGATAAACAATGCAATTCTGTCTTTTTCTGTTCCGAACTGAAGCTGAAAAAAAATCAATCCTGGTTCTGCATTTTTCATTTCAATCAGGTAAATGTTAAAAGAATGGGACACTGTTTGCTGACCTACATGAAGCTGCTTAACAACTGCCACGAATTCACCCCTTAAAACCTAAACGTCTGCATGTACACCCACTCTTCATTTCCTCACTCTCATAAATACATAACTTACAACTTACTGAATAATACATTTAAATATTAATAACTAAATAATAAACCAATGATTTGAGTGGTGTAAGACCAAAGGTAGATTCATTAAACCTAAGGATAGAAGCATTATGGTTGAGGAGGTAAGAGAAAGCAAAAAAAAGGAGGAATTGGAGATTCACTCTTGAAGTAATCAGTCTCTACTACTACTGGTGCAAAGAGACACTACTTAGCACACAGCCTGGCTCTGAAATACAATAAATTAGATATCTCTTCCACACTTATTAAGAGTTAATCAAGATAACTAAGAGTTACTTCTATCCATAGAATATAGGTGACAAAATTAATGTCAGTTTAGCCAGAAGTATTTTAATTCACTAAGACAGTCTCTAAATTTACTGCTTTATCAGACATCATACCACTATGTAGTAGCAATGCACAAATCATGAATTTAATGACAAGTTTCAATTCGATTTCTCTACAGCCAAATTGGCCACTGGATGATTTGTCGGCCAACTCTTGTAAGGCTTTTTCCCCCCCATTACCCTGAAGCCCAGGCTGAGTGGGCAAAATGAACATCAACATATTACTTTCTATTAGCTATACAAATAACATAATTTGCTCTTTAACAGGTCAAACTGGCATTTGAAATTAATAAATGTAAAAATCAGTTTCCTAGCCACATAACAAGGGCTAAATAATGTGCTATAGTGAAAGTAAGAGGCAACTGGCTGTTTAGCACAATAAGTAATGCATAATTATGCAAAGAAGTTTTGGTCCAGGTAACAGTATTTAAATACAGCACGAGTGCAGTTACCTGGCTCAGGTTATTTTATATTATAAAACTGCAACACAGAGCAGCCAAAATAGAAGGAATAAATTGGCCAATCGCATGTTTGAAGCTTATTTCCACCTTGATTCCGATCCGGCACCCCCCACTATGCAGTATATTCTGCAGAGGAATTTCTTTAAAGGTTGACTTCATGATAGCTGGTTTGAGCAGGTGTTGAATGTATTTTTGTGTGTCTGGGGGAGCAGGGGGGGATCACTGCAAGAAGCCCCCAGGGCAAACAATCTCTGCCTCAGCGGTTTAACAGAGACATTAACACTGGCCAGAGGATTCTAATCGAGGTTACTGCCTTGTGCACAGGCCCTTCTGCCACAGAGACTGAAACCAAGCGACGCATAATTCAATTAGTAATTTGCATTTCAAATGACGCCTCTCATTTGCATTCTCATTTATTCATCTTTCTTGTTCTGCAGTTAATTATTCTCTTGCACAAACTAAGTGTTTAGATTAAGCCAGGTTATGCAGATAATCATTTGCTTCAATGACTCCTAGGTTTATGTATGGCTATTCTACTGGAAAACCTCTAAATTAAGAACACAGTGCAAATCAGCCTTAATACATCATCACAGTTATACAACAAAATATTCTGGCCTGAGATGACTGGATTATTTTAAAATAATAAAGCTTTTCAAACATTTCTATAAGAAGCAGACTGCAAATGACTCAGGTCGCATTTTTCAGCAACAAAATGAGTCTGGCCAGAAATCAACTGAAGAAGTGAGGAACAAAAGATGTCTGGATCTGTATGAATAGACTTGACAAAGTTTATGTACAGTGTTAAGAAAACTATATAAGGAGTTTTGTTGCCTTTTTCTGAAAGTCTATGCAGTGTTTCAAAAGGTACACTATATTTCTACAACACTGATTGCACTCACCTATACTGTGAAACTGCCATCGACTGTTGATTTTCTCTGGTAGAAGTTGAAGAATTTTCTGCAAGAAGTCAAAATTTATATTGTTAGCTCTTAGAAAAGTAAAAACATGAAAACTATTCAGCTATCTAGATCATGTCTAGAATCTTGGAACCCAATCTGCAACCCAAACATCACGCTAGCCCTTTCTTAAACTCACCATTGCGGCAGCACTGATGACACCTCATGCTGGCAGTAGATGTGATGCATCACCAAACAAAGAGGGAAAAAAACGCTACTCCTAGTACTAATGCTACCACTTCACTATCTGTGGACTGAATTACAACATCTTGCCCTTTTAACACTACATCATTACGGCAAATTCAGAGTGCCCATGGAGAGATGGAGCGCCTGGGGAGTTCAGAGATCGAGCAGGATAATGACATTAACAGCACTGCTTTATGGGTAACGGCAGCATGAGAGACAGTCTACTACATTAAACTACTCATCGCTCTGAAAGACATAGCATAACGTGATCCCAGGTGAACAAGGCCTGCAACTACTTGCACTAAGGAGAATTCTTAAAGAATCGTAAGTCGTGTTAAAAAGTTTACTAGAGGTCTAAAATAGGCTTCTGTAGCTGTAAATGTTTAAGATTTTACTCTTAAGTTGGGAAATGGGTAGTTTAATGGTGTATTTATACTTGTAGTTTGGTTTCCCCGTTGGGGAATAAAAATGATACACTGTTGGATTTCAGTTCTGGTTTGTTTAGCATTCACACTCACATAACTGACATCAGACCAAAAAACAACAAAATCAACAAAAGTTATACAGGTAAAAAAAAAAAATCACAACTGTTTGGGCAGATCTTGTGACTTACATTTGTTGCCAACAACTGCATTGGAGCAATAACTCCAACAAACTTTCTGAACCATGATGAACTCAGGTCTAACTGAGCTCGTGGGTTTTATGTGTGTCTTGTTTTATTTTTGTCTTGTGATATTCTAACGCAATAAGCCACGAGAGGCCGTTGTTTTTTTCACACAGTAAGGCAGAACATCATTTCTTCATGTGTCACTACTGGTGTATATTCCAACTTCGCAGAAAATAATCATAAAAAAAACATAATATTGTGTTTTGTATCATCTCTCATGTAAATAGTGGTATTGATAAATTTCAATATTACTGTATTTTCCAAAGATATCACAGTAACAGATAACATTTAATTCCAACCATTTTGCAAAATCTCAGCAGAATTAATTTGCTAAGAAGTAAACAAAGTCAGGTTGGACTGATATTAATGTGAAATAAAACGTGAAGAAACTTACCAAGTCAGAATTGTTCACAGTGGTGGTAATAGAAACCACAAGTCTGAAGAGGTTAATGCTTCTAAAAGCTCAGTGATTTGCAAACCAAACATAAAAAGGTAAGAAATACATGATGCATGATATCTGATACATTATTTGAGGGTAGTTTAAATAAGGCTTTGGACTAAAATGTGTATTTTTTAAAAATACTTTGAACGTGGAGATTTACATGTAGGGCGTTGTAAGACAAAATAGACCCCAAACAAATTTTTTCTTTTTTTCCCCTGCCAGATGTACCACTATTTACCATGATCAACATGTAGACATGCACAGTAGGCATTTAAACCCCAGGTTCCTATTACCACCACATGTGTTTTGGTCCGTTTTGCTCTTGTCCTGCTTCCCTTAAATTTACACCAAATGAAACTTTGCACTGTACTGTAAATGTTAACCAGACAGAAAACACATTTATGGAAATGAATCCTTTCTTTTTATTTAAGTATTCGCTTTTCGAACTGTTCTTTCAAATCAATCTAAAGCACCAAGGAAATGACATGCATTGCAGCTAAGTTGCAGAAGTTTTCTGTTATCAATATCGGTCAACCTAATAATCAGTGTTGCTGAGCGACATCAATACTGGTATAGATCATACAACAGCCAGCACTATGTGAAAATGTCTTGACGTATCATGAAATGTTTGCCATACTGCACAAGTCTACTTCTCTGTCACTATAATCCCAACCAAGACTTGACAGACATCAGCACATCAACAATCCAGTCTCAGCGTGTCAAATTCATTCACTGCCTGTGCTGATCTGAGGCGTGACGACACATGAGCAATACAGCATTGTAACACCTAGTTATTGATCCTGTGTGTGTGTACGCGTGTGTAGAAGTGTGTGTGTGTGTGTGGAGGACAGCTCAGGATTAGAGCATGTCATTGCCTTTAAGAAGCAGACAAGTTATTGGAGGTGACAGTTGGGGGGGTCGCATTTAAGCTTGCACGCTGGGGGTCTGCGGTAGAAGACTGAGGTTTCGGTAATACTTCACTCGCTCTCACAGTGCTGGCGGAAAGCAGCCCCCTGTGGAGCTGCAGTGGCAGGCGGGACTGTGGATTTGAGCTGTGCGGAGTGAAGCTGAGGAAGAAGCGGTGCGACTGCAGTTGCTGGAGCCTCCTCTAATCTGCCGCTGCTCTCCAGGCATAAGGCTGGAGCATTACGGAGGCCCACACCTCGTCTGCCTCTGCATTTACATGATCCGCACTCAGCTTTCCTGCCACATGGCGCGCATGACTGAGAATACAGCAGCTCCAAAAACACTCTCCTAACAGGGATTTACTGCTGCACTGAGCTCTTCCACAGAGTGCCTCCACAACTTTTACTGCCCTGATGCCTGGGCAGCATCTTAGAGTGACATCTTCACTCTTAAAAATAAAGGTGCCAAAAGTTTTTTTTTATTTTTGTGTGTGTGTGTGTGTGTGTGTGTGTGTGTGTGTGTGTGTGTGTGTGTGTGTGTGTGTGTGTGCGTGTGAAAAACCCTTGGTAGCCTAAAAAAAAAAAACTTAAAGAACCGTTCTGGCAAATAAGATATGTGACTGTGAAGAACCTTTTTGAGTTTCCCATGCCGCTAAAGCCGTACTGTAAAGACCAGAAAAGTTACGCCGATTAAAATAGGACCACCCCGTCGAAATTAAATAATTCTCCATAGTTTATTAGTTATAGGTCCAGGTCCGCATAGGACAGCGTCTGGGTCCGGACTCAGACCATGGTCCACCTATTAGTGACCTCTGCTCTATATAATGTAAGGGTTGCAAGAAAAAGCCTTAAATTGGTCCAAAACCTTTACATTATGTGAAGGTTCTTCAAACCCTTGAAGGTTCTTTACACTCACGTCATCTCTGTCAAACATGGTTCTTTTGAGAACTAAATGTGGTTCTTCTATGGCACTGGTCAAAGAACACTTTGTGGCACCTTTTTTTGTATGTGGATGATAATTTCTCAATAAAATTGAAGTCAGTGACAAGTGTAAGGTCACATTCGTCTCACAAAAAGGTCATTTTATTTTTACAGTGAAAATAACATTAAAAACCGAAAACAGCAAAAACATCTATGTCTGTTGATGCTTAAACTTACTTTTTTACCTACCAAAATTTCTATTTAAGGATTCAGCATGAAATGTTCCTAAAATGTAGTTGTCAGATAACATTGTAGTGGTGTAATGTAATAAAAAAACAAAGAAAATTGGGAGGTTTTGTTTTGACAACAACATGTTAAATGCAGTCATCACCAACATTTGTCCAGCAGTGTATTTAAGTGGAAAGAATACTGTGCAGGAGGGTATGGATGAAAGCCATAATCAGAAAGCAGGTTAAAGCAGATATAATCGAAAGCACAGCGAGTCATAACTCTCCAAGGTTACCACTCTAGCTTGGCCAAAGTCCTTGTAATGACAGTCCACTGAGAAAATGACAGTCATATGGCACAACGACAAGTGGGCCTCTGCAGGTGCTGAACAGAATAGAATTTAGTTTAGTCAGTGTGCTACTGCAAACCAAGTCTGGTCAAATAAATAAAGATCATGCACCTTTAAACTGCAGTGATTCAGCATTTTAGTGGCTATGAAAGTCTACTGCTGAAATGTACTAGATGCAACGCTGTACTTAGGGAGGAGCAGCATGGCAGTACTGTTTGAACACAAAGTTTAGACTGATTCAAAAACTAATTAAAAAAATGGCTTTGTTTAGACTTTTCTTGAATCAAACAAAAAGCATTCTGAAATTAAAATTTTGTGATGTAAAATGTCTACGAACGGTCCTGTGATCCTTTCAAATCAAATTTGAGCCATTTTCACATGTGATCCTAGATACTGTTCATAAAACGTTCCTTTAACTAGTCACTATTTCAGCATTTCAGTTGATAAAATTAAGCAAAATTGTTTATTTGTTGAAAATATTAAAATACTGAGTAAACCTTTCGAGCCCAACGGAGCACTTTTAATAGTTTGCTTGTGTAGCAAGCTAATGTTAGCTGAGACATTAAAAATGCATTGTTTTTTTAAAGTGTAGCTCATTTCAATTCCTTAATTTTAAACAAAATCACTGCTTCATTGCCTATACTGAAGCTGCACCTAGAGGTTGGCAATATGGCAAACATATAATCACAATAAGATTCACGACACATGACGTATCACAATATCTTGATACACAGACATAATGCACTACACAGCTATCCAAAACTCATACTGCCCACCTCTAGCGGCACATCTAAGCAAACTTAGCTAACTGGATAGGGGGGCATGCAAGTTCGGCTAATGAGTTAGCTTGCTAATAGGAAGGCAGTAGTAGCAATGTTAATCCAGGATCATTATCACAGCAGTTTCCCCCTTTTAATGGTATACAGATACTGACCTACAACCATCACAGTCATGCAGATCCTTGATAAATTTGCTAATAGTGACTCTGGACCAGACTACATTTTCGGTGGATTAATACAGAATTCAGCTGATGTGTGCACTCATAAATGCGCAAAACTCATGCACTTTACAATGGCTTCATAGTTCGGTCAATCTGATTTCAGGACCTGAATCATTCATTTGATATCTGATATTTTGTTATGTTGCGTTCTTTTTGCTGGTTAATGATTAATTAATGTAGAATGATGGTCAGTTATCAGTCAAAATAATGGGACAACATATTCAACAAAGACTAATATAAATGAACATTAACCTGTAGGCTCACACATAAGCAATCTAACTTATGACATATCAACTCTTCACA